CCTTCCTCCATTAGGTCATGGGGCATTGTAGCATCTCAACTAATGAAACCTAAGACACGTCCATGGCCAAGTTTCAGCCAAGCAACCAAGTAGGCTGTAAGAACCTTACAGCTATAGAATTAACACATAAATCCCTGACCCACCCCCATGGATTTAGAATGGCAATGTAATCTCTTCTATCCTTAAGATCATCTCCTACATATAGGTCATACTCAAGGATTATACCAAGTCTCACCATTAACAAACTTTTGCATCACTTTTGCGGTGTCAACTGTCTGCTCTCCCATCCCCGTATACACCTGACCCATTGAAGCACAATGAAATATGTCCTTGTTTATGGATATAATAATAAAGTCTTTATGATCGGTCTTTAAAAGGTCTGTCATCCCCTTTCAAGGCATCTGCCCCATGAAAGGTCATCATAGAGTTTTCAAACAAAGGAGAATCAGATATACAAAATACACGGGGAAAAGTCATTTTTTTTGGTAGGGGAGGCTCCTCTGGGTGACTCTGGGATCCAAGAGTCTCCATTCCACCAAATCCAATCAAATGTCTTTATTCCAAGTGTGAGTACTGAAGTCTTCTGTGAGTCATCCCCAAATTTCCCCATAAGACATTTGCTGGCATTGTAAATTTTAATGATGCAACCCACACAATCAAATTTTATGATTCATTTTTCAGCAGTATTGTCCCCATGGCTACATAAAATCAAAGATTCCTTTGCAAATGACATGGAAACACCACAATTCTCCAACTATCATCTAAGATGAAAATTAAATGACCTGGCTTTATCACTTGCTTGCTAGGGAGTGTGCTCCAGTACATTCGAGGATCCATTTCTCATCACATACATGCCCCACAGTCACCATGATTGAGGTAATGACCAAGTGCAGAAGTTACCAGGCCACCCAAGACATGTGCTTCAGTTGGCACTGAATCAAAGTTCATCACAGGTGATGGCATAATTACAGTGCCACCATAGATCACAAGTCTCTGATTTCCTGTTGGCAAGGAGCTTAACACTTTGCTCAAGGCCAAGGGCACAATGAAATCAATCAGCCTGTCTCTTGGGACCACCTGCACCTCCCCCCCCCGTCAGTATCAATTAGGACCTAGTCAGGAGACAGAGCTCATGTCCATAATAATATGAACATGAACTTGAGCATTTTAATATCAAGATAATAATCCAACAAGTGACAGTTAATCACTAAAGCAGCCACAGAGAGCTCTGAAGACCCAGAGGCAGCAAACAAGAAAAGCAGTTAAGTCTCTGCAGGGGCAAAGTAAATAAGAAACAGATGGAGGGACTGGTGAGATGGCTCACTGAATAAAGGTGATTGCTGCCAAGGCTGACAATCTTGGTTCAGTCCCTGAAACCCATATGGTAGAAGGAGAGAACTGACTGTTGCAAATTGTCCACACATATACTCGTACCATGGCAACAAACGGATAGATAGATAGATAGATAGATAGATAGATAGATAGATAGATAGACAGACAGACAGACAGATGGATGACAGATATGAATAAATAAGTAAATAAATAATAAATGTTTAAAGAATTTTATTTATTTATTTATTTGGTTTTTTGAGACAGGGTTTCTCTGTGTAGCCCTGGCTGTCCTGGAACCCTCTCTTTGTAAACCAGGCTGTCCTCAAACTCAGAGATCCACCTGCCTCTGCCTCCCAAGTTCCGGGATCAAAGGCATGTGCCACCACCCCTAGGCAATGTTTAAAGAATTTTAAAGGACAGAGGCATTGGGAGACTATCCCCCCTCATTCAGTCAATTCAGACTTCTACAATGAGGGAGACATGACCACCAGAACATGCAACCTATAGTGGCTAAGAAATTGGCCAGGCCATATGGGCTAGCATGGACTATACTAATGGCCCTTTGGGTTGGATTGAGATTATGTTTGGTCTGTGTAAATGACTTCTAAGTGTGGACAGGTTAGCCTGGGGGGGGGGTACATCTGGAGCTGTCCCACATGAGTCACAGAGGAGATGGGAACTGAGTCTTTGTCTTTGTATTAGGAAACAAAAAGGAAGGAAGGAGAACCCAACTCTGGAAGGGAAGGCCTTTCCTATTGCAAATCATCCTGGTATTGGTCTAGTGCCTCTACTGACTGAGTATTGCTCCCTCTGACAAAATTGTCAAGGGACTAGCTCCAATATCAAAGTGGGCAAAGAAGGGTACATTCAGAGCTCAGGGGTGATAAATTAGTAAATGGCACAGGGAGAGAAGCAGATGGGGTTGGGGAGGTGTGGAAAGGGTGGGGGGGGAGTAGAAGGGGTAGGGGAGAGGTAGGGAGGGGTGAGGTGTGAAGATTGGGGGAGCAAACAGTTATCAAGGAAGAGGCAGAGAAAGGAGTTTCTAAGCATTTTGAAAGAGAGGCTTGCCTGGGCAGGGGCCCTAAGGAATCAGCACCGTCTCCATCTCACTTAAAAAAGAAAATGCAGTCACATACCAAACACAGCTCAAGAAAGCCACATTGTTCCACTTTCAAATGAACAGAAAATAAAATTCCTGGACAGATTCCTTCTTCCCACCCCTGGGGATAAGTGGGAAGTGAGTTGAGACACATTTTATTTTCTTGAAAAGACTCTCCCAGCTCCTTGGCTCCTGCTGAGTCAGGCTGCCCCCACCATCTGCAGATTTGAAGCCTTCAATCATTCATTCAGCAACATTTTCCTCAGGTCTACAGGGAACCAAACACTGAGCCCAGGGTGATCTTTGGTTGTGAGCCTGGGTTAAACCTGCTCCCAGCATCTGTGGTTTTCACTGAGTATCAAGAAGGCTCACTTCTGCCTGAGAGAAATGTCCAGCAACTGATATGGTTTAAGTCCAAATCCCCAGGAATTTCTGGAACAATTACAAGAGCCATGGCTTTGAAGTCATATGACATGGGTTCTAATCCTGCTTAATTCTTTTTTATATGACCTGAAGCATTCATACACACACACACACACGCACGCACGCACGCACGCACACACACACACACACACACACACACACACGATTCTTTTTCAAAACAAAAAGGCAGTGTCTCATTCACCAGGGTCTTGGCTCCAGACCTCAATTTCCACTGTGTTAAACCCCATTGTAAATTGAAACTCTCCTAAGTCAAAAGTGCCTTTAACTCACCTAACCTGCCTAGCATCCTAGTGGTGCAATATCCAGAGAGTAGGGGTCCTTTCATCACATGACCACCACCCAGCACCACTAGAGAGTGCACACTAATATATTAAAGACTGGTGAGATAGCTCATCAGATAAGGATGCTTGCTTCCAAGCCTGACCCCAGGGTTACGTCCTGCAGATTCTCTTCTGACCTCCAAGTTCATTCTAAGGCATGTGTGCACACCTGCGCACACACACACACACACACACACACACCAAAAAAACATTAAGTTGAGCTATTGTAACATGGGAGCTGCCTATATTGTGATATGAAATGTCCTTTATCAAAGAACAATGTGTCAGTAGAGAGTGACGTGTACTTAGCCTTTTTAAATATTTTGCCTCATAGCCAGTCCTGAAAAAGGGCATCATTGTATTCATGGGGCATGCTTAGGGAATTGTACATGGCCACTTCTTGGTTGACTGTAGGGCCAAGAGGACCACGCTTGGCTTGTTGACTTTGGAGCTGTCCCTTCTCCCAATACCTAGCTGGGCGCCAACTCCTCTGAAAGGCTTGTAAACTCAGGTGAGCAGACCCACACTTCCTCACTTCCTTCTCTCCAAATGCTAGGAACCCTGGAACATCAGCTTCAAGACAAGCCCTTTGCTAGACAATAAATACAGCAAGGTAAACGCCAAAGCATCCCCTGTCCTCAGGAAGTTTAACAGTGTAGGGCAAAGAAAAAAGCAATGTATGCACCTACAACATGTATCAGTAAGCTTTAAGTGAGTAACAAACAATCCCCATACTTCCTGGAAGAAGAAAAACATGTTTATAACCTGTCCAGGTTCTAGAGGTTTGTCAGGCAGCCTCTTCTTACTAATCATATTAATCCAACAAATCAGCTGGGCTAAAAGGTTGCCAATGGCTTCATTCACAGACCTGGCTTCTAGGACTGACATGGGATACACTGTGTCCCCTCCAGATGCTCTCAGTCATCCAGTAGGCTACTCAGGTTTCCTCACAGGGCAGAGTTCCAGGACAATGCAAAAATGAACGCCTTAGGTCTGGGACCTGAACTCCACACTCTGCCATTTCCACTACATTCTATTGGTCCAAGCAAATCATATTCCATGGCTTGACCAGTCTCTCTAACACACATCTGAGTCAATCAGGTAAGGCTTATAGGCCAGTTCAGAATGAGGAGGTGGGGGGTCAGTCTATAGGCCAGCCAGGTCAACCCTAACAGCCCAATTACTTTTTAAATCCATGTGTATGCATGCCTGTCTGTGCACCTGAGTGCTTAATGATTGACATGGGAGGGCCCAGCCCACTGTGGGCAATACCATCCCTAGGCAGGCGGGCCTGAGCTATGTAAGACCGTCGAACACGGGTCTGGAAGCAAGTTGATAAACAGTGTTCCTCCTTGGTTTCTGCTTCAAGCTCCTTCCCTGAGTCCCTGCCTTGGCTTCTCTCGATGCCAAACTGCAACCTCTAAGAGGAAATAAACACTTTTCTCTCCACATTGCTCTTGGTGACCATGATGTTTATCGTCCCACAGAAGCCAAACTAGAGCACTCATTATGGTGGACTGTTCCCTTGACCTGTAACCCAGAGTAACCCTTTCCTCCCGAAGCTGCCTTCATCAGGTACTGTGTTTGGCAGGTACTTACTGGGGTGCGCACCAAATAAGAGTGGGTAGGGGGACAACAGGACCAGCGTCCCCCGGAACCACCGCCATGAAGGGACTCTGAGTGATTGATGCCCTGGTCCATATCTCTGCTGCCTGGTGGACAGAAAAACCAAAACAAGCCTAGAATCTAGGCCTCTGACCCACACCTCACCCTCAGGCTGGTCAATCACACACACAGCCACCGGGTGGCATTCAGAGAGCACGTTTATTTACAAAGCGCTTTACAAACATTACCTTACACCTCCCCACAGCCCCCTGTGAGGTAGGTCAGTAGTCATATCTACAGTTTACAGATGGGGAAATTGAGGCACGAAATGGGGGTGTGGCCTACCCCATTATAAAGAGAACTTCCCACCCTCCCATCAAAAAAACAAAAATGAAGTAACAACAAAAAAGTCCTGGTCCTCCATCCCATAGCACCCTTCTTCCTCTGACTAGGAGCTGTCACCAGCCCTGCTCTACCCTGCCTCAACCCAGTGGCAGCCTCACCAAGAGCCACGGGACCTCAACTCTGGGGGGGCTGGGATTCGGCCTCATGGATTGTCACAGGCCCACACTGAGCACGACTGAGCCGGAGCCCTGAAGGCTGGGGAAGAAGGAGCTGAGGTGATGTTCTGCACATACCGGGCCAGGCAGGGATGGAGCCCAGGAGAGAGGCGCGGGCCCTGTTGCAGGAAACTCAGAAGCAGAAGTAGGAAAGCACGGGGAGCAGGGCACCCCGGGTCTGCAGTGGGATGGAGAACAGAGCCACAGGAAGGCTAGCGTGTCCCACTGGCAAGACGGTGAAGTCCCAGCTTCAGGACTCTCAGGGGCTACGCCAGGTGGGACTCAGCCCCTGCCAAGCCCAGTGAGCCTCCACCATGTGCAGTAGGAGCCACGCTGGGTGCAAACCTTGGACTCTCTCGCAGCCCTCATTCATTTCTTGCCAAGGACTGGAATGGAGTGGAGGGGCCTGACCTGGGTTCCCAGTACTGGCTGTTCTGGCCAGTGTCACTGTCCCAGGCTTCTCTGCGCAGGTCTGCAGGGCCCTCTGGAGGTGGGGCTGGCTGCAGCCTTGCACAGCTCCTCCTTGGCCTGCAGTCTGCCGGTTGGGTCCACCAAGACAGTGCAGCGTCCACTCCAGTGTTCTCCCTGTGGAATTATGGCTGAGCAAAGTTGGGGGCACGGGCCCTCCTCTCCAGTCTGGGATGATGGGCCACGCCCTGGGTGCTCAGTGGGTGCCCCAGGCCAGGCGCCTGCTATCTCAATTCCAGAGCCTCCAGGTACTCCAGGGCCACGTCGTAGCAGAAGTGGTATTGATCCTGGGGGAAAGAGAACACCTTGAGCTCACACCACCCTCTGGAGAAAGGGAAACGAGGATGGTATTCTAACAACCCACGACTAGAATGGAGGCCCAAAGTTAGGGACCCGACAGGAGTGCGTAGGTGCTGGGGAACCTGGCAGGGCTTGGATGGGGAGTGGAAGTGGCTGTGCTTGGGACATGGCTCCTCACCATGGTCTCCACCATATTGGGCTTGTAGTTCCGAAGTGTTTTGGCAGCAAAGAAAACATCCACTAGGCTGTGACAGCGGATCATCTCCAAGACCGTTGCACAGGCGCAGAAGGTACCACTGCGGCCACCACCATTCCTAAAAGAAACACAGAAAAGGTTTGAGCCAGGACCTGGGAACCCAAGGGTAAGAGGTGGAGCTAGGCAATTAAAAGGCAAGGGGTAGGTCAGAGAGGCCAGAGATGAGGCTAACACTAAGGAGCCATGGAGGGTGGACTAGGGAGCTGAGGGATGAGAAGAACGCAGAAGCCAGCCCTAGGACCAGAAGGCTGAAAGATATCCAAAGCCATGCATCATATCAGAAGATATCCTCAAAAAGGATTGGCCTTTAGATACCCAGAGAAAAGATCCAGTCACACTTCAAAACAAAATGACAGAGAAGGGAAGCCCCAGAGGCAAACAAGCCCCAAAGCAAGATGGGAAGACCAGCCAGGACCGACACTGGAGACACAGAGCCAAACACAAGCTCTGAGCCCAGCTGTGGTCACCAGGGCTCCTCTCCTCCTCTTGCTCCTGTTCCTGTGACCCAGCGCGAGCCTCTTGTGAAATGGGAGATTAACCACCCCTTGGCCTCCTGCTGCAGGAGTGTCTCACTGGAACTAAAGGCAAGCCCTCAGAGGACAGGGCCCAAGCTGGCACTGGGAGGCTCCCAGAGTACAAGAAGCATGAAAAAGAGGTGACTGTACCCAGACATGAATGAAAACATGCATTTCTGAATGGAGGCGCATATAAGTGAATGAATGAGTGAGATATATACTGGCGAAAGAAAGTGCTACAGGTGTACATGAATAAACAAAGACGAGAATCCCACTAGCATAAAGACTACATAGAGCCAACAAGATGGCTCAGTGGGTAAGTGTGCTTGTCACCAAGACTGATGACCCGAGCTCAGTCCCCAGGACCTGCGTGATGGAAGAAAAGAACAGACTCATGCAAGTTGTCCTCTGACCTCCATGCACACACTGTCACACATAAACACACGTCTGAGCACATGTGCATGCACACTTAACACGTGAACACAGGTGGGCACTCATGCATGTACACACACACACACACACTTTAAATAAATAAGTGTAATTTTTAAAAGACTTTAGAGCATGCTACATGGAGCCAGCAGGATGCCTCAGTGAGTAAAGGCATTTGCCATGCAAGCCTGGTGTCCTGGGTTTGAGTCCCAGAGTCCAAGTAAAGGTAGAAACTGAGAACCAACTCCATAAAGTTGTCCCCTGACCTCCAGACCCGCATGTCATACACATACGCACATACAAATGAAAATCAGATTTAAGTATGCTATAAATCTCACAGGGTAAGGAATTCTGATGAGACTCTCATTAAACTCAGCTAGTTGGAGAGTCCAGGCTGTAGCCCCTGGACGCTGGACTCCCGTGTGCTAGCCCTGAGGGCCTGTCAGTCTCCAGCCCTTCACCCACCCTCCTACCAGAGGGCACTCACAGACAATGCACCACGGTGCGCCCATCCCCACTCTCTGCCTGCCACTTGTCCACCTCAGCCAGCAGGTGCAGGAAGGCCTTCCTGGAGTCAGGCGTGTCCCGGTAAGCAGACCAGCGCAGGAACTGGAAGTGCCGAACCAGCAGGTGGCCCTCCTGCAGCTAGGGGCACAGCAGCCAGGCAGAGAAATATGAGCATGAATGAGCCCTTGATGACCTCCAGAGAGTCACTATAGGCAACCCTGGCCATCACCCAGACTCTCACCCTTGGGTTCCTCAGGATACTCACCCGAGAAGTGTTTTGCACCCGGAACACTCGGGCCACCAAATCCTCGTTTGCTGTGCCAGACACAAACTCCACCTCCATGAGGCCATACTGCTGCCGGCCTGGCTCTGGCCAGTACTGCAGGCAGGGCTGGGACATAGAGAGAAAGCTGTGTAGACCAGAGCCAATCTCCACACAATGCTAGCTCTGGGGATTCCACCATGGCTCCGTACCTGGCTCCAGACTCCCCTGTGGCACACCTGTCTCTCCACCATTCACCCATCAGAACACAGGGACAACTGCCCAGAGCACTAGCACATTCAGAGTGGTCACAGCAAACTTCACAAAGAGTGTCATGATCCCCAGAGCTATGTGGATGGAAACCTCCACTCTAGCATGCTAACTATATCCCATACACATGTGTTCATGGACTCCTGCATCACGTTGCCTTCCTCTGAGAAGAGACAGGGATAACCCCATCACCCCAAACCAACAATGCCTCCTACTTGTCATCTCCGAGCCCAGCTCTGATATAGGATGACCCTAATGGTAGGACATAGCTTCATTCCCCACACGTCCCCTGTAGACCACACTAGAGACAGGAGCGGCACAGAGGAGGCCCTCTGTGACACACATGCATGCACACAGGCATAAAGAGGTAACACAGCCTATCCTGAGTCAAAGAGAAAGCAGGAGGCTAGAATTTGTTTTACCTCAAAGGCCCTGGGGTGGGCAGTTTAGAGGTACTACTGCAAACTCAGAAACTCTGAATGGAGCACTCCACAGTAGGGGAGCACAGCACTGCCACATCCCACTATATGATCTTGGGGGAAGCACCTCCTCTCTGTGGGTCTTAATTCTTTTCCTCCCCTGAAGCCTCTATCCAGAGGCCACTGTCAATTATAAATGAGACCAAGTTTACACAACAGTCCTTGGCTTACAGTAGGTGCTCACTAAAAATGAGAGAATTGGTTCCATCTGAAATGCTAGTTTATAGATTGGAAGGGAGTATGATTTTTCTGACTCCACAGAACAACCTGGCAGCAGAGCTGGGCTCCTGCTCTTGACTTTGGGGACAGTGGCTGTACATGCGCTGAAGCCCCGGACAGCCTCACCCAGGCAGAGTTGGACTGGTTAAGCTGGTTGAGCATGACGATGGAGGTGCACCCATAGTCGTAGACCAGCCGCCAGAAGTCAGGTGTGGTACTCTGCAGCGGATGCAGGGTCACGATGAAGGCTGCGCTCCGTGTGTAGCTCTGCAGGGGAAACAGCACTCAGTGGGGCCCTCTGACGACTCTGACCAGAACCTCCACGAAGCCAGTACTTAGACATAGGTGACCACAGGCTTCCCTGCAGATTGGACCACCCCAGATAGACTCTGGAGGATGCCTTGCCTCAGACAAACCCACTGGCATCTGAGAATCAGTCCTCTTGAATGCCAGGCCTACGACGCATGACTGAAATCAGGTATCTGAGGCCTGAGGGACCAAGGCTGTTCTTCAGCTTCTTCCCCCAGCTGCCCACTTCCCCCCATGACCTCCCCTAGCCAGACACCCCAGAGCTGCCTCTCCAGCCCCCAGGATATATATAGTACACCTTCTATCAGGGATAGAGGGGAGGTCACCAAAGCCTCCATTCTAAACTATGCATCTCCCTAGGACCCTTCACCAAGCCTGGTGTGTCTGGCGGACCCCTTGCCTCAGGCACACACATGGCATGGGCTGAGTTCTGGCAGACATGGCATGGGCTGAGTAATGGTGACTGGGAGCCTCTCCCTTGTGTCCCCCTCTCTCCTCCCTACATGGAGGTCTTCCAGTTGTGCTGCGCCTGACCTGGCTCCCTTCACTTATGTGCCCTGATCATTCACTGTCTTTGTCTCTGTCCTCTTAGCAACATGTGTTCTCACTGCCCACTCCTCGTCCCCCATGATGGCCTGCTCCTGATGTGTCTAGGAGGGCAAGTCAGCCTGGCAGAGGGCCCAAGCCACACACAGCCTATATGACTACATATGCAAAGCCACATTCTCCCCTCTTTTCTGCAACATCTGTTCTCTGCCTGTCCATTATAGACTCTTCCTTCTCAGTCCCCCAAGCCACAGTACCCATGTCCTACTCTGTTTGCAATGCCTAGTAAAGAGGGTGAAGTCCCTTGGGCCAGGGATAGGCGGTGGATCTACTAAATGGTTCCTGTGCCCTCAGATCACAATTAAATAAGGACCAGGGATCAAATCACTACTCCAGACCAGGTCCTGGAGCTGGGTACAGTCCCATTGACTCAGAACAGACTCCTCTAGCTCTAAATATCAGGTATCAAGTCCTGACCTCAAATCCTCAGGGATGCCCAGCCAAAGTCACCCTACCCCAGGCTCTGCAGGGGATGATCCTGGAGACAACTCTGCCTGAATTCCACCACCCAGATCCTCACTAAAGCTGACTATAATGCCAGAAGGGGGCATTGAATGCCCACAGTAGAAGACTAATGGGATAAGAAGGTCTCCCATGGGCCTGGATCACTGAATGGGTATGGGGGGTGTCCCTCTATCAAAGCCTTTGTCTCTGCTCCAATGGCTCGAGTCCTCCCTGGAGGGGGAGTTCCAGAGCCACTGCAGCCTTGAGCTCTCACGTCGGTCAAGGCTGCGTTGATGTAGTTGTTAGGGTCCCCGTCGGTGGAGATAAGGAAGGGCAGGCAGCGGTCCGGCGGCAGCACATCCATGCTGCGGTTCTTGTCTCGGTTCCGGGGCAGCAGGGCAATGCTGCACTCCTCCACGTCCAGCGGCGGTGTGACCGAGTTCAGCGTCTGCAGAGAGGGAGGTGAGGAGAGAGCATAGCCAGGGCTTTCAGGGCCCCCTCCCACCTCCACAAAGAACCTTAGGTTAGATAAGTAGCTCTGTGTTATGAATGGAGAAACTGAGGCCCAGAGAGAAAGACGTTAGGGAGCCAAGCTGCCTATCACCAGGCCACGGAGGACCTAGACTGAGCTTTGGGATGAGCATCTGTCACCCTGGGCCAGTGTGGCCTTGGTAAGTGACTTACTTTTCTCACTTGTAAAATGGGAAAATGATACACCTTTTTCATAGGGCATCCGGAGATCATGAGATCTCCAAAATGAGGTCATGCCAGGCACTGAGCAGAGCCCGGTGTGTGGCAGGTCCAGAGAGGACCAGAGCTTTCAAAGATGCAAGCCTGAGCCCTACCTCTTCCCTAGAGCCAACCCCAGACAGGAGGCAGAAGCCTTGGTCACAGCTCTGTCTAGACAGAATGTAATCCTAAACCCTTGACACAGGTCCTAGCCCGCGCTGTGAGATCTCTACAACACCCCGCCTTCAGGCTTCATGTACTACAGCCTCAGTTTCTCTTTTATTCTTGAGGATCCCTCCCAGGACCCTAAGTCTGTCATGATCCCCAAAGCTAATACCTCTCTCCAGGAATCACCAGCCACATTTCCTAGGTCACCCTACACTGGCTTCAGAACCACAAATGCCATATGGCTAAGGGAACATGGGAACCCTGAGTGGAGGGAACCCCCAGGTCTCTGGCACCCAGACATCAGCAGATTCCTCTGGAGAGCAGCCTGGCCCCATCCAAAGCATCCCACCAGAGCCTGGGTCTATCATGGGTATAGCATGAGGATCTTAACTTAATCCCAGAACCCACATATTTACAAAATAACAATAAAATAAAAAGCTAAACATGGTGGCACAAACTTGTCATGCTAGCAATAGGGAAAGGAGACAGGCAAAACCCCAGGCCCCTAGGACTCACTGGCCACCAGCCTGGGTTACTTGGCAAATTACAGACCCTTGGAAAGACCTTCTCTCAAAATAATAATAGTAGTAGTAGTAGTAGTAGTAGTAGTAGTAGTAGTAGTAGTAGTAAGGCAGACAGTACCTGAGGAAAAGCACCAAAGGTTCTCCTCAGCTACCCCCGCCCCCGACCCACACAGTTCTGAGTTGGTGGTGCACACCTATAATTACAGCACCAGGGAGGCAAAGGCAAAAGTATCAGGAACCCAAGGTCATCCCTGTCTATACAAGTTCAGGACCAGGCTGGGCTGCATAAGACACTGTCTCAAAAGCAAAACAAACAAAACAGCAGAACCAAGGATGGGCAGAAACCAAGTGGAGCAGTGTCACTGAAGTCCCTGGATCAACTCTAACTGATGGTACCCTGTCACACTTCACAGCTGCTGGAGCCCCTGAGGTAGCTTTCTTAGGACACCAGAAGCAACCTGATAGCTCCACACCTGCAGGGCCATGGGAACTCCCTTTCTTTCCTAGGTGGCGAAAACAAGAGCTTAGAGAGGTGAGGTGACTTTTTCAGGCTCCCCACAGCTCCTTAAGGTAAGCCAGGATCCAAACCCCAAAAGCCTGGGGCACAACTGCTCTGACACATGTCCTTCACTGTCTCAAAGTCCTTTTCAGTCACCTGGCTCTGTCCCTCAAGCTGGGTCTCAGGTCAGTCCTTCCTGATTGACCCTGGACAGTTACAGTACTGATGATCTTCCAGTACACATGCTCACACTCACACACACACCACTCCTATATACACACTCATACCTATATACACGCACCCCACTTCTATGCACACACACCAAACTCCTACACACACACACAACCCACTCCTATATACATGCTCATGCTCCCCACACCTACACACAAACACACATACACACTCATATACCCCACATCTATACATACACACATTCACACACCCTGCACCCACCTACACACACATCCACCCCCACTCCTATATGTACAACCATGTACAACCATGCCCTGTACACACATAACCAACTTTACACATACACCCCATACCTCACACCTATACACACATCCCCCTACCTGGAATTCTTCCCGAAGCTGGGAGGAATTACTCTGAGGGTCAATTCGGATCATCTCCCTGTAGGTGGCCTTGAACTCATTGACAGGGATCGTGGTCTCCCCGCACAGGCAGGCCTCCAGGATTGCATCATGGATGAAGATGTATTGTTCCTAGAACAGGAGATGAGAATCTAAGAATGAAGAGAGAGCTGGAAGCTGAGCTCTACCAAGGATGAAGGAAAAACATGGCCACAGCTGAGGCAGGGATGCTTGGCTGGGTCCAGCCATCACATCAGCTCATCTACTACATCCCAGGAACATTCCCAGGGGATCATCTGAGCATGGAGGGACAGTCCAAGATCCCAGGTCTAGTGAGGGCACAAAGCCTGGTACCGTGACTCTAGAACCCGCCGCCATCTGACTCACCTGGCACAACACCATGAAGTGAGGTTTGGAGAGAACTACAAGACCCTCCCAACCCCCCACTGCCATGTTTGAGATGGTCCCAGGGAAGAAAGGGCCTGGGATGGCCTGAAGACATGTTACTCCAGCTCTGAGCTTCATGATAAACCTAGATGGAGGGGAGAGGCCGGGGACAGGGCTGGTCTGAACCTCAGTCTGGATCATGTTGACCCGCCGGGAACAGAGGGTCTTCACACAGTTGTAAATGTCCACGACGCCCTCACATTCAGCCATGTCCAACATCACGTCCAGGACGATGTAGCAGCCTGTGCGGCCAGTGCCTGCGCTGAGGGGAAGAGAAGGCCAGAGCCACATCAGGGCCAGGGAATAGAAATCAGGGAAAAGAAGTAGACACCAGAGTATCTGCCATAGCTATATAACTTAGGGGTTGGGAGCACTCCAACAAAGAGTGGTTGTGGAGCTGGAGCTCTGTATGATGTAGCAGAGGACACAGTTGAGGGCATCGAGCAAGACCCGGGGAAGGAAAGGACAGAAAGAGGATAGGAAGACATGGAAGTGAGGCTAGCTCAACTTAACAGTCAAGATTCAGGGGTGGGAGAGATGGAGGTGATTCTCAGAATGCAGTCTAAGAACACACATTCCCCTTGGAAATCCCAGACTCCTTCATATCCTTCAAAACCCACACATTCATACCCATCCACATCCCCAGCTGGAACTTCCAACGCTTCCCAACACATGGCCCTCTTCAAAACTCTCAGAGCAATATGGCTAGCTTCTGCTAAAACACTTGCTACATGGTCCCTATTTATGCGGCCAGCTCCCTAACTCCACCTGGATTCATCACTGCATCCACAAGGAGCAGTGCTGATGGAGGGCGGGTTGGGAAGGAGGCCCCAGGATTCCAGCTTTGAAGCCGCCACCATCAAAGCATCACCGGGGACAACACAGCTCATATCACACAAGCGTTTTGGGAGACCTGGAGAGCATCCACTAGGGCTGAATGTTCACAGATGGTAGGTCTGTGCACACAGAGGGCCCACAGCAATACGTGTGCACTTCCTATCGAAGCCACACCTTAGAACAGCTGTTTCCAACCTGTGGGTCTCGAGCCCTTAAGAGTCACATATCAGATATTTATATTGCGATTCATAACAGCAACAAAATCACAGTTATGAAGCAGCAATGAAATAATTTTACAGTGTGGGGCTATTATCACAGCATGAGGAACCGTATTCAAGGGTCAAAGCATTAATAGGTTGAGAACCACCGTGTTAGAACATCCTTAGTGCTGCCATTTTTTTTTTAGCACCACTATTTCTGGTGAAAACCAGTGGATCCCGAGCAACAGAAGGTGGACAGATACACCAGAGCTTGTTCACCCTGGCATGTGACGCTGTGTGGATGGACCTCACACACAAAGGAGAGGGAAGAAAGTCACACAGCAGAGAGCTCACACTGGGGGGACTTCATTCACACCAGCTTCAAACCCATGAAAGGCTTCCTGCAGGGAAGAAGTCAGATTGTGATTGCTCTGGGAATAGGGAACATTCCGGAACCTGGCTGTGTGCATGGGTGCATGTGCGTGCCTGTGTGCATGTGTGTATGTGTGCATGTGTATGCGTATGTGTCTGTGTGTCTATGTGTGTGTGTAGTGGGGGATTAATACTTTTACACATGGACAAGCTTGTCAGAAGCCAGAGGTCAACATCAGGTGTCATTCCCCAGGAGCACTACACATGGTTCCTTCTGAGCCAGGGTCTCACCCTGGGACCTGGGACTTGCTGGCCAGGCCAGTGAGGGCCAGGGGTTTTCCTGTCTCTGTCTCCCAAGGCCAGGATGACAGGCATGTGCCGCCACGCCCAGCTTTGTACACAGGTGCTGAGGATCAAGCACTTCCGTCTGCCACCCCCACCCCCATGCTTTGTTATTCAATCTAGAAGACTGAGCTCACGGTTCAGCTAGTAAACCATCAGGTGCCGGCACACTCGCTGCTCATGATATAAACTACATTTTGCATGACAGACTTTCTGTATCAGCTGGAACTCATTCTTAGAAGATGCTATCTTAATGAACTCTGAAGAGAGAGGAAGAGAAAGAAAGACAGACAGACAGACACTAACCAGGAGGCTGTCAGGCAAGGGAAATCAGAGTTTGTGAGAATTCCTACAGAGAAGCCAGTATAAGCCACAGGGGCTGTGGGCTTGCAGGCTCCAGGACTCCTCAGCTCTGGTAAGGGGATTCCGGGGGTGCCAACCTCAGAGCCGAAGCTCACAGGATCTTTAGGGAATCATTCTCCCTTATCCTCTGTCCCCAAGCAGGCTGAACCCAAGTCCGGTCCTCTTTAGGGACCATGACCCTGCCCGACTACAGTCCAGCTCCCCCAGCCCTGGCCTTCCCACCTGCAGTGGATGACAACGGGCCCAGCATCAGGTGGAGTGGAAGCCTTCACACGCCTGATGAAGGCCAGCAGCCCCGTGGCATGGTAGGGGACGCCATGCTCTGGCCAGGCTGTAAAGTGGAACTGGCGGACCTCGTGCCGGGTGGAGTAGCCTCTCTGTGGAAACCACAGTGGTGACAGTCAGTTGTCAGCAGCACCTGCCGTGTGCCGGGCTCTGCTTACTCCTCATTGGTGAGGTAAGTATCCGCATCCATTGTGGTGTGAGGAGGAAATGAAGGCCCGGTCGGACAATCCCCTCTGCTGAGGTACACACTCTGTGTTTGGATTGAGTCCACCAGAGGCTTAAAGCCATGCTGTCCAACACCCACCTTATCCCAGGGCTGTTGTGTAAACAGAACAGTACTATGACTCAGGAGTCGCCACGCTTGCACAGCAAGTATTTTTAAAACCCACTGAGCCATCTTGCCAACCCTCCTCTGAGGATTTTACAGAGTAAGTAAGTGGGAACCTAGACCCTGATACATGAGGAAACCCTCTGCCCCTCGCTATTTTCATCTGCAAAACAGAACTGATGGTAAACATGTCATCCTGGGGCTGACACAATGCTCAGCACAGTGTCCCACACAGGGCGGTCATTGCATCTCCATATTTGATGCATACTGGAGTCCAGCGGGAACAGCCACCATCCCATACCTCAGCCAAGATCCCAGCAAGTTAGAAGGGCTTCCTTGCCCCTCCCTCTCCTTTTATGTTTCCAAGGCTCAGGCAATGTAAGCTCTACATGAAACAGGTATAGGGGGAGACTCACCCGCTCCAGGGCAAAGGTGCGCACCACATACTCAGCCAGTGTCTCTGTCTTTACCAGTGTGATCTTGATGTCTCCATACATGTCTGAGTCCTCAGGCCAGTAGCGAGAGCACTTTACCTGGGGCCACCATAGCATAGGGTTCAGCAGGCTCTTAGCCAGCCATGAAGCCCACCCTGCCCCCAACCCGGCCCGCAGTTCCGCTTACCCTGCCCACCTCTACCAGCTTGGTGATCATGACGATGCTCACACACTGTTCCTGCCACACCATGCGCCAGAAATCGTAGATCATTTCAGGCTTCGGCCCTGGGGGCATAGAGAGTGCCTATCCCTGAGCAAGGTTTCCCCCACCCCCACCCCGGCCATGGCCAGCACACCATGATACCCAGTGACACCATCCCTTGTTGGGAAGTTCCCAGGACCCAATTCCAATGGGGACTTTTCACTCATCTCAATATACCCCACCAACCACAGCTTTATGCCTGTAGGGCCCCGGGATTCGCAATAGCAAGGCAGAGCCAGGCTGGAGAGCCTGGTGTGCTAAGGCTTAGTGAGCCATATGGATGGTAGACTCTCAGTCCATGGACAAACCTCTGAGAGAGGTGGATAGAGAGACGGTAGCAGAGGGGAGACTGGACTAGAGGGACCCGGGTGGTCAGTTGGACCAAGAGGCATGCTCCATGACAGTGAGTACAACCCCAGCCCTTACATGCATCACTACAGAGGTACACACAGCGAGGTTACCGGGGAGGGACTGATCATATCAGGAGGCACAGACAGGCAGGGCAGATAAGGGCTGCAGTTAGATATAAGAGACGCAGGCAGGCAATGGGGACACAGAGACGAGACGGATGGGGAGGCAGATGGGGGGCTGAGCAGGTGAGCAGGGAAGGCAGGCAGACGGGCAGCGGACATTCCAGATCATGAGAGGGCGCCACAGGCTAAGGGGCCAGGTACCTTGAGTGGCTATGAAGTGGTTTGACCTGTGGTAGCCCTGGAACAGGAGAATAGGGCGAAATGAATGCCGAGGAACAGACTTCTGTTCCCTCACACTGCTACCTATCACCCTCCTTCCAGGAGCAGTGTCCTCCAGAAACTCGCACCCCCACGTGGAACCTTGTCCTCCCAGTCGCAAAGCCGAGGCAAGCAAGGCTAAGAACCCGGGGTCTTGCCATGGAGCCCTATGGAGGGTGCACCTCTGTGAGCCCGGCAGTCCCCCCACCTTCAAAGCAGGAGAGTTATCTGTTAATAGCAAGGCTGCTGCTCAGAGACAAATGAAGCCCGGGATGCTGCCGCCCAGTTCCCAGAGTCCCAGAAACAGAATCCACCCTGGACCCCAGAGATAGGAGACCCAGCGGTTGTCAGAATCCCCAGTTTCAGTCAGGGCATTCAGAATGTAGAGTACCCTACCCAAGGACCTCAGCTACCCAGAGCCTGCAGGAGAAATCTTAAAGAGGGTTTCAAGTTAGAAGCAAAGGGCCCTTAGATACAATTTTTAAATTGGTTCTTACTGATGATAAGGAATTTTCCTGAGACCCAGTGATGGTCCCACACTGTTCTAAATACTACTGTTTATTTTACATGAAAGAGAAGCCAAGAGCTACCTCATCCTCCATCCCCAGAGACCTCAGATGCATGATCAGTGAGGTCCCAGAGTCATGGTGATGGTCCCCACGCTGTTCTGAACACTACCTTCTATCTGATGTGAAAGAAAAGCCAAGAGCTCCCTCCCATCGCCAGAGCCCTCAGGCCAAACAGGAAAGAGCTGAGGTTCCCAAACCACAGTGACCCCAAGGTCACTCACAGGCTGTATCTTTGTGGGACAAGAGCCAGCCAGGAAGTCTGTGCAGACACTGTGTTAAGTTTCCAAAGCAGAATGGCAGCAGGCGCAAGAGAAAGCCACCAAGTCTCTGCCCCTGGCTCTCAACAGAGCTCCTTGCAATTCATCTGGATCCCCAGGGTTTGAGAACCCAAATGGCCCTAGTGCCTCACTGCCAGGATCCATCCCAGCTGCCCTCAAGAAAACACGCTTTCCCTCTCTTGGCCTCCATCTCCGTTGCTATAAAGTAGATCATATCAAGATTTCCCTCCCAGGGACATGAGGAGTACAAACAGTAATGTAGGTTAAGCATTTATTGCCAGGCCAAATACAAAACAGGGCAAACAGCAGTTGTTATTTTTAACCCTGACTCAAAGGTCTCCAAAGGTCCAGCTGGAGAGATGGTTGCTCTTCCAGAGGTCCTGAGTTCAATTCCCAGCAACCACATGGTGGCTCACAACCATCTATCGTGGGATCTGATGCCCTCTTCTGGTCTGCAGGCAGACATTCTTCTGTATACATCCTTCTGTATACATAATAAAAAAATAAACTTTAAAAAAAGTCTCTAAAGGTCCAAATACTGTTGATAGGCACATGCCTTGAATCCCAGCCCTCAGCAAGCAAAAGCAGAAGGGGGCAAAAGAAGGACTGGAATGGGAGGTGCCCACCCGAGTGTGGCTGGAATGGGAGGTGCCCACCCGAGTGTGGCTGGAATGGGAGGTGCCCACCGGAGTGTGGCTGGAATGGGAGGTGCCCACCGGAGCTCTGAGGTCTAACGGACCCGGGCCCCTGCTGGCAGGTGCCAACAAGTTCCAGCACGTATTAGTATAAATAATGAAGTAGTAGAACTCAATTAAAACCAATCAACTGGGCTGAGGATGAGGCTCAGGGGTAGAGCATTTGCCTAGCATGCAGGAAACTCTGGATTCTATCCCAGTATGCACGCATGCACGCACACACGCATGTGCACACACACACACACAGTGTTCACACAAGCATGCACACACAGACATAAACACACACAAGAAAAACCACATTGATCCCAATGATTGGCTATTATAAAATTTATGTCTGTCACTTCACCTAGAGGAGATAACTTTGGCACTTTTGGTATGCAGAGACCCTGGGATGTGGTCAAAGGCAGACTTGGGCTCAGAGGGTGGGGCTGGATCTGGAAAATGCATTTCCAGCCAGTTCTTTGACAATGCCCACACTGCAGAGCCTCAGACAGCAAGAACATCCAGTAAGGCTGGACGTTTCCAAGCCTCTGTTGCCCTCTGCAACTGGATGACAGCCAGACAGCCTCACAGTTCCCCCTGGGAAAAGTCAAAACCCCTTCAAAGTGACTAACTCTGAAAAACCTCGGGAGTACTCCTTCGTCACTACAACAGCCTCCCATGTCCCGAGCCATTGCCTCTGGAGAAGGTCAGAGGGACAGCAGAGGCGGAGGGTCAGGAGGGCCTGGTCCTAGCTTGGGAACAGGTTACCCTGAACTGCTTGTGCCCCGGCACCCAGCAAAACCAGTTTGCCTAAACTCCGCCCACTAAACTCCGCCCACCACAGGTTCATCATCAGATTCAGCCAGCTCTACACCTCTACCCTTATTCCACAAGGGCCCAGGCTCCATGCCAGCATTCAAGCGTTAGTCAGTAACAGAGGACCTGAACTCAACTAAACAGAATGATTGGGCTTGATATAGTTGAATGCTTGCCAGGCATGGGAGAGACTCTGGAATCCAGCCCCAGCATAAAAAGGAAGGGAACCTGATTGATTGCCCAGTGAGTGGATGACCTAAAATTCAGCTCTGTTGCAACTGTTTCCAGTCCTTTCCAGGATCCCATTCTTTCACTATTGGAAAATTACATTTTGGAGAAAGTGGCCCAGAGCCATCCAACCAACCTTGTCATGCAGGCCTATTTGTTTTTGTTTTAATATGTATTTATTTATCATTTATGTGCATACATGTATGCCTACATGAGTTTATGTGTGTCGTGTGTGTGTGTGTGTGTGTGTGTGTGTGTGTGTAGGAACAGCAGAGCCTGGAGGAGGACATCGGATTCCCTAGAACTGGAATTACAGTTGGTTGTGAGCCATCTGCGGGTTGTTGGAATTGAACTCAGATCCTCTGGGAGAGCAGCCTGTGCTCTTAACCACTGAGAAAGGGGCTCTCCAAGCCCCCATACAGTCCTATTTGGAGCAAGTGTACGGGCACACAACTCAAAATTTCTACATGTTCATTTTTTAAATGTTACATTTTTATTTAATTTGTGATTACGGGGAAGAGCGTGCATGGGTAAGTGCTGCAGCATGTGTGTGGATGTCAGGCGACAACCCACAGGGTCAGTTCTCTCCATCTCCTGTGTGGGATCCCAGGGCTCAAACTCTGGTCATCAGGCTGAGCATCAGAGTTTTACCTGCTGGGCCATCTCGCAGCCCTAACTTCTCACGTAAGACATCTGCTACTGTACAATCATATTACACAAAGAACACTAATAGAAGTTTTTCTATGCCTACGTGTGTATGTACACATGTGCAGGTGTAGGGGTGAGGGTTGCACATGCCAGCAGGGTACATGTGTGCATTGTGTAGATACCAGACAACAACCTCAAGTACTAGTCTTAGACCAGCTGTCTACCTCCTTGAAGACGGGATGTCTCTTTGGCCTGATACCTTTCAATAGGGCTAAACTGGCCAACCAGCCCAAAAGATCCACCTGGCTCTCCTTGCCCAGTGCTGGGATTACAAACATGAGTCCCCACATGGGTTCTGGGAATTGAACATGGGTCCTAACACTTGCAAAGGAAGCATTTACCAACTCACCCATGCCCAAACCCCCATAAATACAAGTTTTAAATGATTGTATTTTAAAGTGAGCAAATCACCCTGCACACTTCCACTTTTGGGAGTGGCACTGGAGAGCTCTGGACCTCATGCCCCAAGCAGGTGCTAGGATCACACAATCTGCACCCTTGCTGGAGTCTGAGTGGGTGGTGCTGGGGGGCAGTGGATGACAATGCTGGCTGTGGCCTTGCAGAAGTCACATCACCTTTCTCAGACTCAACATTCTCACCTGCCAAATGACCCTTTGAATTCTAAGTGCCTGGGACCTGGCAGGTGCCGTTGGCAACACGATTGTTCACTGGCATTTGAATTAGCATTAAGCCCAGTGAGACTTCTAAGGGTATTTCTTAAGAGTCTGACTAGAGGGAACCAAATGGTGAGATTCAAAGGCAAGTCTAAGGCCAGTAAGGACCAATATTCATCACAACCCACAGGGGGCGCTAGGACTCAGCACATCCACTGTCTTTTGTGAGCCTAATGGGTCTTTTTCATTTGAGAATTTTGCAAACCAACTGTGTGACTGCACTCAAAATAAGGGGCACGGCTGAGATAATTGGCTGTCTCTGCCAAATGTGACTGGGGGAACCTCTCACGTCTTATGTTAGTCTCTCTATGTTGTCCGGAAGTCTGATAATGAACAGAAGCCTAGCAATGATAAAAAAAAAAAATGAAATATCTTTTTTTAAAACTAGATAAAATGGAAAACATACCCACAAAATAGCAAAGAATACCAGTCATTAAATAGTATGAAATATAATCCTCACATTCAGGAGGCTGAGGCAAAAGATTGCTGTGTATTTGAGTCCGGCCTCAGCTACGTAGTAACTTCCAAGCAAGCCTAGCTACAGAGTGAGACTCCATATCAAAAAGCCAAATTAATAATAATGATGATGTTGATTATAAATACTATGAAAATAAAATGTTTTAAAATCAATTCAAAGCCGGGTGGTGGTGGTGTACGCCTTTAGTCCCAGCAGTCGGGAGGCAAAGGCAGGCAGATCTCTGTGAGTTCAAGGCCAGCCTGATCTACAAGAGCTAGTTCCAGGACAGGTTCCAAAGCTACACAGTGTCTCAAAAAACAAACAAACAAACAAATCAAGTCAAAGGATGACTAAATTAGTTTGGATTCTTTTCTCTTTCATTTTCTTTCTTTTTTTACTTATTTTAAGACAGGTTAGCCTCAAACTTACTATGTATCTGAGAATGACCTTGAATTTCTTTGATTTTTGTTTTGTTTGTTCTTTGAGATGAGGTCTTTCTACACGGCCCTGGCTGTCCTGGAACTCGCTCTGTGGACCAGGCTGGCCTCCATCTCAGAGCCCGCCTGCCTCTGCCCCCCAGCGCCACCACTCCCAGTTTTTATATGAATCTTGGTCTAAACCCAAGGCTTCATGCATGCTTGGCCAGCATTCCACTAACTGAGCTGTCCTCAGCCCTTGGTTTAATTCTCCAAAGAGCAAAAGATTTTACAATTTTTAAACTGATATTCAAACTAATTTTAAAAAAAAGAAAAAGAAGCACATTTGAATTGAGGCTAAATGGAGGGCAAATTGATGGGGGTTGTTTTTAAGTAAACTGACCACAAAGGGATTTGAACACTAGGGAGATGAGTTAGGCCTGGCCAGGCCTGTCTGAGGCCTCGGCCTCTCGGAGCCATGGCAGAGAAAAGGGCTCTCCGGGAAGCTTCCCAGCTCTACACTCCAGAAGCTCTACAGAAGGGCAGAGCTGGTAGAGCTCACAGGAAATGGCTAGTCAGGGGGACAAAGGTGACAGCAGTGACCAGCACCCCAACAAAGCTGTCCTTGTTGAGAGAACCAAAGGTGGGAAGGAATGTCTCCCAGTGGGGAGACAGTCTTCAGTTGAGGCAGCCCCTGGCAGGCTGCTGGGATGTGTGGCTGGTATTCAGTGTCAGGAGAGGGGAAGGAGGGAGAGAAAGAGAGACAGCCAGCCAGAGTCTGTGAGAGGTCACGGGACACAGCCATTCCACGAGACAGGAAAAGGAGGAGAAGGAGGAAGAGGAGGAGGAGAGGGAAAAGATACTTACTTGTCGGTTTATCCGAATCTTAATGATTCCAGTGAGGGAACAGAACAAAGCAAAAGAGACAGATGTTAGGCCAGAGGTGGATGGAGGTGGACGGGGCACAGGAGAGGCCAGAAAGGGTGGCATGAGTTGGCAGGCAGAACAGAGACAGGAGGCCAGCACTTGGGTGGAGAGAGGGATGGGCATGTCCCTGTCAGGGCCCAAGAGAAACCAACCAGGTAGAACCAGTGAGAAAAGTCCACCGTCTCCAAGCTGCCCAAGCCTGTGAACAGGCCAGGCTTGACTCTTCCCCCAGGCAAGGGGCAGCATGGGAGGCAGGGAGAAGGCAAAGTGTTCTGGGAAACAAGGGTGGCACACGTAGCTCCAGGAGGAAGATGGAAGAGGGAGAGAAGAGTCATCTCCCAAGGTCCTGATGACCTCAACCCTGGGATCCTATGGCTTCCTCCTGGGCCTTTGCCTTCGCCGTTTGTAGCTGAGTCCCTCCCCTTCCTCCACAGCCACACTGCTTCTCCCACAGTCCACACAGCCAGCCCTGGCTTCTGCCACTAACGGGCTCTGTGACACTTTTCTTCTTGCCTATGCCTTCCCAGCTAATCTGAAATGAATCTCCTTCAGTGTTAATCTCTTTCCCCATACTAGAATCTCCGTATTAGAGAGAGAGAGAGAGAGAGAGAGAGAGAGAGAGAGAGAGAGAGAGAGAGAGAGAGAGAGAGAGAGCAATAGTCACGTGATCTCATCTCTGTCCCTGGTGCCCAGGTGCTCAAAATACATTTCCTACACAATTAAAGGATGCTCTTCCAAGCTCAGCTTGCTGCACGGAGTGCAGTCAAGTCCCTGGGCCTTGCCCGGTTCACATCACCACCACCCCCATCCATACCTGGGAAGTCTGCCCTCTCTTGGACCCGCTCTCCCGTCCACCCAGATCTAATAGGTGTCAGGATAGCCAAATGGTCAGCACCAGAGGCTGCAGAGACAGCCTAGCTGGGGCTTGAGTCCTTTCTTTACCACTCTAGCTGTGTGTCCTAGAGCCAGTAACTTCACCTCTCTGAGCTCCAGCTTCCTCCTCTTACAGGGGAGTTCATGCATTATAGGATGATAAGGTTATATGAAACTTGAGATTGTGTGTAAAGCGCTTATCACTATGCCTGGCACATAGTATGTGCTCAGTAAACATGCCTCCCTGTATGTGAAGGGCCACTGTAATCAAAGTCAAAACACTTGACAACTTCCTGGTGACCCTGGGAGATGGCCCGAGGCCTTAGCCCTGCCACACAAGGTCTTTACCATCTAGCCCTGCATAACCTCTTCAGCTTCACTATGGAAATCAAGAGACTCCCACCTCCAAGCTCTTGGCCCCTTGCTGAGGCAGCTCCTCCCTTCCCTCAGCCTCTCTGTCTGATTCCAGACCTTGCTTTACCTCCCCAGTACAGCACTCAGGATACTTCCTGCAGGCAGCCACCTACTCTCAGCTCCCCATCTCTGAGTTCCTGACATCAAATGCAACTCAGCCATTCAGACCCCCAATTACTCTCTGGTAGGTTTCCGCCCTGCATGGACAGTGAGCCTGGAGGGGACAGGGACAGGTAAGCAGAAAGAGCCGGGCAAGGCACTCACGTCTATGTAGTTGGCAGAAATGTAGTCAGCATCCGGGTCTCCCAGCATTGGGTGCAGTTTCACTCGGTGACGGTCATCTGGGAACAGAGTGACAGAGCAGAGCTGTCAGGGAGTCTGGAGCTTGGTAGGTGGGGAAGGTCTCTTGGAGGCTAGGGGAAGTGTCCAGGCATGGCTGCCAGGTGACCTCTAAGGGCTCAGAGATGACCTTGGAAAGCTCTGGGCACTGTGAGGCTAGACCAACGGTTTGAGTCTGGGCATGGAGTTAAAACAGAAGATAAGCAGCAATTAGATGTGCAACCTTGAACCAAGGTCTCCTGCTCCCAAACCTCTGTTTCCTCATCTTGACGATAGGATTATACTGCCTCCCCTGTCACAGGGCAGCGATGGTGACAATGGTGTGAGACACTGTGCCCTCACACACGAGGCCAGGGCCCTTATGTTTCTGAGGACAAGACTCCCCAGAGCATACTCTAGCCATTCACCTCCTCCCTCCCTCCTGTCATTGTGAGCCCCAGCCCCTTCCCTGGGACTCACAGGCAGACACTGTCTCCTGCCGGCTGCCTTTGAGCTTGTCTTTCTTTTTGGTGGCATCCCAGCCTTCAAAGAAACTCTGTCAATGGGAAAATGTAGTCAGTGGGACAGAGAGGCCCCAAGACTCTTGGGACCCCTCTCCACAGGGGAATGAGGGAGGCAGGGTGGGGGACAGGGCACATGAGTGTGTCAGGAAGGAAAAGCTGAATGAAAGAGAGGTCAGAGTTCATAGTTTAGGGTACAGAACTCTGAGTTTGAGCTGGGAAGAGAGGAGAGATGAAATGGTAAAGATTAAGGGTGAGATTAAGCGTAAGTGGGGGCAGTGCTGGTGTCCAGATGAGGGTAGCTGGGATCCAAGGAGGAGGAGCTTAGGATGAGGGTCATGGGTCAATGTCAGGATAGAGTTAGGTCAAGGTCAGCATTGATGTGGTTCCAACCACAGACAGGACTAGACTCATGGTCAGGGTGGAGCTGGGATGGAACAGTGAGAAACCAGACCGTCCGAGCTTGAAGGAATGCTCAGATTCAAGGTCAAAGGGTAAGTTGAGCTGGGGACCGTCAAAGGGAAGGTCCAACAGGGTTACACTGAGAGTTGCCAAGTGAGGTTCCACAGTGAGGAGAACGGGCCGGGCCCACCTCATATTCCTGCTTGAAGCCATAGCCCTCTGCCGTCTTCATCTGGTTGATGTGTTGTAGGAGGTCAGCTACCCGTACTGCGGGGTGCAGCTGTCCTGTGTGATACGGGGAGCCCTTCCGGCCACATGGGCGCCGAGGGGAGCCCCCCAGGAGGCTGCTGGCCTCGGTGACCCCACTGCTTCGCTGGTCTCCTGTAGCCAGAGGAAGGGAAAAGGCCTCTCACATATATGAATACCCAGCCTGGAAGCCTTAGAAGGACTCCGGCAGAGTGGAGACAGGGAGCACAGCCAACATGGGGGGTGACTGGGTCATTCCTCAGAGTCAAGCTCAGCAAGGCTACCCTGCATGAGGCCCTGCAAGCCACACCCTTCGGTATCTCTGGTTTCCCATCTACAAAATAAGCAGATCAACTGAAGTGACACATAGGGTCCTCGTGGTTGTATCACCCTGTGATCCTGTGACATCTTCATACCATCCTACCAGGTTTCACTGCTCAACCTGCACAGGCAGCATTAGCAGAGCCCTGGACATGCCCTCCTCTTCCAGGGAACAACCTGGAACACTGGCAACTCCCAGCAATTACCCCCATTCAAAGATGAGCAGAGCAAAATTAGCTTGCACAGCCGCCCCCTCCGCCGACAATGCCAGGCACCTGAATAGAGTGTTTCTCCTGTGCCAGCATTTCCATTGTCAGCCAGGGTGGTGGCCCAGACAAGGGGGCCCCATGGACCCCAGACCCTGCCAGACAGACACGCCTTCTCTCCAGCTCTTAGAATCAGCATCCCCAAGGACACCCTGGTTCCAGAGATCAGGTCTGAGACCGGGGAAAGCAGCCATAGCTTCTCCTACCCAGAGCCCTCGCTCCCTGTCTGGCTCCTAGCTTCTCTCGGAAAAGGCTGCATGACTGACCGGAGACCTGTCCTTCACATTTCTCATTGATCTGGTCAGGCAGGGACTGTAAAGGGATCTCTGGTGGGTGCCTGTTCTTCCTTTCCCAGAGCCTCCCACATGGCTGTTCCCTCTGCCTCAATACCCTTCCCCCCCTATCCTTTATGCCTGGAGAACTGATACCTGTCCTCCAAGTCTCAGTCAAAATGATCCCCTAGAGGCCTTCTCCAGTGCTGGCCTGTGTTCCTCCTTAGTGACTCACAGAGATGAATGCAAGATACCCAGGCCACTTCCCAGACCCCAGACAGATCAGGGAGACTGTCCCCTCAGCTTCCTATGCCAAGGTTTGAAAACTGCCTCTGGGTAGGAATTCAAGGCCGTGGCAGAATCTTCCTGCTTTGCTGTTCTCCTCTCAGCAGCTCCAGTCCTAAGAAGCGCCCAGTTAACAGAGAACTGTCTCCTGAATTTGATCCTGAGTTCTGGTCACTTCTAGCTGGAGAACTAGCCAGTTACTAGTTTATCACACAGTCAGATGCCTCGTGCCCTTAACCTTACAGAAGGGGAAGCTGAGATTCAAAGAGACAAGATAGGACCCATATCAGAGTGGTAAGTATAGTAAGAACTCAGGATGGCTGAGTAGGCAAAGTGCTCCCTGTGCAAGCATGAGGACCTGAGTTCAGATCCCCAGCACCCAAGTAAAGAGCTGGGCACAGTGGCAGACACCTTTAACTCCAACACCTGGAAAGCAGAAACGTATATGTCCTGGGGGCTTGCTAACCAGCCAGTCTAGCTGAATCTGGCAGCTTCCAGTTCAGAGAAACCTGTCTCACAAGATAAGATGGAGAAACAGACATCCCAAAAACATCTGGACTCCACATGAGCCTGAAAACATGTGGCTGCACACACACACACACACCATACAAGCCTGAAAACATGTGGCTGCACACACACACACACACACACGAACACTTACACATATACATGTATTTGCAGACAGGAACACTTACACACATATGTATGCACGTGTGAGTGTTTACACATGTGGACACACATATACATGTGCAGACTCCCATGAACATACACACAGAAACATATGAACACATATACACAAACACACAAATTAGATAAAGAGAGGAGAGATCTGTGTTTAAAGGCGCAATTCTGATGTAAATAGAAAGAAGCAGGTTTATTCCCCGTAAGACCTCGTAGGGCTTCCAGCAATTTGGTGTGCAAGTGAAATATTCAAGAGATGAATGGAAGGAAGGGCGCTTCCCGACTCTCCATGAAGGGCTCTTTGTGTTTTATAGAAACATCCTCGGGGCCTGCAGTACAGTGTGGGCGGAGACTGACAGAAGGCTCTGGAGTCAGGCAGATCTCAGATCAAATCCCAGCTCTGCATTTGACCTTGGGGATGCTACTTAGTCTGCCTAAACTTCCAATTTTACACATCAAATGAAGTGAAAACTGATACTGCTCAACATGCCGATGTAAACGCTAAATAATAAGACAACATATAAGAGGTCCCCAGAGCCTGGCACCAGGCATTACCACCCACGGCAATCGTTGGCTTTGTTTCCAGGAAAGGGAGTCGCTGAGTCCCCGAAAGCCAGGGCAGCTGGCTGACTGAATGCTTGATCCTTCTCCATTATAAGACACTGGCCCAGCCTGAAAAGCCAGTCAGTTCCTAGAAGCAGCCACAACTACACAGGGTGAGGAAATGCAAGACTTCAAGACAGGTTACTGGGGCTGGAGAAATGGCTCTGCCAGCAAAGCACTCGCTACACAAACCATGTGGACCTGAGTTCAATCCCCAGTGCTCATGTAAAAGAAATCCAGGCATGGTGGCATGCAATGGTAATCCCACTGCTGGGGAGGCAGAGACAATAGGATCCCTGGCAGCTCACTGGCTAAACAGTCTAGCTTAGTGTGAACTATAGGCTCAGTGAGAGACCCTGTCTCAGGTGATGAGTAACTGAAGAAGACATCTGATGTCAAAATCTGGCACCCATTCTGGCACACACACTTGTATACACACACAAGTACACTCACACACATACATAACACATGCACACACAAAGGACTTCTGCTGGTTCAAAGAACTCAGAGCATAAAGGATACTGGGAGCTCAGGGGTTTGCTCTGGACACAGAGTCAATGGCTCATGAAGTGATCACCAGGTAGAAAGAGAACCAAACAAGTGTGTCAGGAGACTGACCATTTATCCCACAGACACTGGCCAGCAGGCATGTAAGTGCCGTCAGTTTCTGATGACCAAAAACCTAGTTAAAACCCTGATGTGAAGCCAAAGCTGAATCCAGGCAGCTTACAGATGAGACCAAGAACAAAGCAAGATATTTTACAGATGAGATCACTGGGAAGGGATGGGGCTTCCACCCACTGAGCCCCAGCCCTCCATTTTCTTATTTTATTGATTTCTTTATTTTGGTAAAATGAAGGTTAATGAATACCACTGAGTGATGTAAAAGGGTGAGAATTCAAGGAGGAAAACTACAAAAAGGAAATAAGTGCATGTCGACCTCGACATGGAATAGAAAAATCCCCTGACAACTATAACACCAATTGCATCGTTTTCTGATATATGTGTGATATTTTTATAGATATATCAAAAAATCAAAAGTGACTCAAAAATAGAAAGTCTGAAAGCCTGGATCCTCTAAAGAAGCTGGTTATGAGTTTCACATCTTGGCCTGGGGTGACCTACTCTGCCAACCTGAGTTCAATCCTTGAGACCAGCACAGTAAAAGGAGAGAACCGAGTCTTATGCCTGTCTGCTGATCCCCACATACACACACAGTGGTACTCATGTACCTACACACATCCACATATATGCATAGAAAATATGTAAATGAAAATGTAATATATAAACAACTTCTCAAGACTCTTGATAGCACTAATTGTCTCCAGTGCTCACATGGCAGTGGCCCGGGTCTCCATTTCCCAGGATCACTCTGGACTCCTCAATTTGTCCTTGAGTTCCCTGAGAGAAGAGCTATATTTCAATCATCTCTCCTTCTTCCTCCATCCCCACCCCCACCCCATCCGGCCACCTTTTCCAATGGCACTCAGCAGCAAGGCCTGTGCCAACCCCAGCTCAACACCCATTCTGTTTTCTTTAAAGAACCTTAAGGATCCTTATTTATTTATTTTGGGCTTGTTTTTTGTTTTGCTTTTGTTTTTTGTTTTGTTGTTGTTGCTGTTTTTCGAGACAGGATTTCTCTGTGCAACTTTGGATGTCGTGGAACTTGCTCTGTAGACCAGGCTGGCCTTGAACTCAGAGATCCACCTGCCTCTGCCTCCTAAGCACTGGAATTAAAGGGATGCACCACCAGCACCTGGCTATTTTGGGGGTTTTTGTTTGTTTATTTTGTTTTTGTTTTTGCTTTGAGACACGATTTCTCTATGTAGTCCTGGCTGTCCTGGAACTTACCATACAGACCAGCCTGGCCTCAAATTCACAAGAGGCCTGCCTTTGCTTCTGGAGTACTGGGTTTAAGGGCATGCATTACCATGCCTGGCAAAATGTAATAATTCTTAAAAGAAATTTTAATCTTTCCATAAAGAAAACAACAACAAAAAAGATTGTTTCTTGATGAATTCCACCAAACTTTCCAGAAGTGAATTAGTCTAACCTTCCATGACAAAGGAAAAAGCAGAAACCCAGTGAATTTTTAAAATTCTGATACCAAAACCAGACAAGAAAAGTATAACACAAAACCATTTATGAGAACAGACCACCCAGAAAGACCACTTGAACAATGAGTACAGTAAATTACAAGATGTAAAAATATCACTCACTTCATTAACAAATGAAAGAGAAACCATGGCTATTGCAGTAAGTATGAGAGAGTATCTTGCAAGTTTAATGACTGTTTAGTCTGAAACCCACTTAGCAAACTGAAAACTGAAGGGAATTATCAAGCCCAAGCCCTCAGCAAACTACTCTCCATGTTTAAATTTTGGAAGCATCTTCCTAAAGCTAATAAAACAAGACAAAGATTCCTGCTATGATCACCCCTACTCATATAATACTACAGGTATGTAGTTAAGGTTTCAGTTGCTGTGGCCAAACACCATGACCACAGCAACCCTTATAAAGAAAACATTCAATTGGGTGGCTTACAGTTCAGAGGTCCAGTCCATTATCATCATGGAGGGACCTGGCAGCATGCAGGTAGACATGGTGCTGGAGAAGGAGCTGAGAGCTTTACATCTTGATCCACAGGCAACAGGAAGTAGTCTAAGACACTGAGCATGGCTTGAGCATACATGAGACCTCAAAGTTCACCTCCACAGTGACACACTTCCTCCAACAAGGCCATACCTACTCCAACAAATCCACATCACCTAATAGTGCCACTCCCTTTGGGGGCCATTTTCTTTCAAACCACCACAAGGTACCCAGCAGCAATGTTCAGAAAACCATGGAAATAAAGGCCTAGAACAGTGATTTTTAATCTGTGGGTTGAGACCCCTTGGGGGGTGCAAATTAGATATCCTGCATATCAGATATTTACATTGTGACTCATAGCATTAGCAAAATTACAGTTATGAAGTAGAAATGAAATAATTTGATGGTTGGGGGTCACCACAACGTGAGGAATTGTATCTAAGGGCACAGCATTAGGAAGGTTGAGAGCCACTGCCCTAGGAGAAAGAGAAGTGCTGGTGTCTGCAGATCCTCTGACTACACTGGAAACCTGAAGGATTCTACAGATGCATTAGCACTCAGGAGAACATCTATAGAGAAGTATGAACTGAAGATCAAGCCACAGACAAAAAAAAAAATCAATTGCAAGCAGGGCGTGATAGCACAGACCATTAATCCCTCTGGAGGCAGAGGCAGGAGAATCTCCGTGAATTTGAGGTCAGCCTGTTCTACAGAGTGAGTTCCAGGAAAGCCAGAACTATATAGTGAGATCCTGTTTCCAAAAAAGAAATGATGGAGGGAGGAAGGGAAGGAGATATTTTAAAGTGTGCTGCTTGCATTAGAAGTCAAAAATAAGAACCAGTAAAATGGCTCACCAGGTAAAGGGTGCTTGCCACTAAGCCTGATGATCTGAGTTCAATTGCCAGGACCCACAAAGTAGAAGGAGAAAACTGAGTTTTTCCTCTGACCTACACACACACACACACACACACACACACACACACACACACACACAATTTTAGGTTTCTGCGTAAGAGAACTGGAAAGGGTACACCTTAGTGTAAGACACTGTGCTTAGCGAGTACTGGCCTGGGTTCAGTTCTCAGAACCAAAGAGCAAAGGACCTGACATAGCTCCCAAAGGTTGGACAGAGTTTAAGGAGAAAAATGTAGATGTAAATAAACAAGGTGATATGTGTCATGTTTATACACAGCGTTCATGAGAAGAAAGATGTTTTATAAGACATCTGTTATCTTAAAAATGATTCCTAGATTTGATACGAAGCCACTTGAAAATACAATTCTAAAATTTGTTAGCAAAGAGATTGAAGACAAAAACAAAAAACAAAAACCACGAAGAGCAGAAATGGTGAGTATGTCTCAAATATCCAGATAGCTAAGAGCACCCCATGATTTCAGCCCAGAGACCAACCAGAATATTGACCCAATAGAAAAAAAGCCAGAATTCAACCCACACATCACAACACTGTGATAGAATGACAGGGACAGCTCTGTAAACCTGTAAAGAGTGAAGGGTCCATGAGATGGCTCAGCAAGTAGAGGCGCTTGCCACACAAGCCTGGTGACCTGAGTTTGATTCCCCAAACAAACCTAAATGCAGAGGAAGAACACAGACTCCACAGAGTGGTCCTCCAGCCTCCACATGTTGGCAGTGGTACAAACTCCTCTACCCCCACATCATATACACATAAAATGAATCAAAACAAGCTTTTAAGAAAGAAAATGATACAGAAGCTGCTCATTATTCCTGTGCATTAAAGAAAATCCTTAATTCATGCCACACACAAAAATAGATTCCGGAGAAAGATTTAAATATGAAATTCAAAATATTAAGTTTGAGGGAACAAAGAGCAAAAAAGGCTTAATGACATGTGTATGTGTGTGTGTATGCATGTGTGTATGTGTGTAGTGAGTATGTGTGTACATATGTATGTATGTGTATCTGTGGTGTGTATGTGTGTGCATGTGTATATTGTGTGCATATGTATGTATACATGTGTATATGTGTGTGTGTGGTGTGTATGTACAAGAGTGTGTGATGTGTATGTGTATGCTATGCATGTGTGTGTGTTTGTGTGTGTGTGCATGCTCCTGTGGGTGTAGCTGTGGGTGCCCGTGTGTGAGCAGGCAGGGGTGGACATGTGTGTGGATGTCAGAGGCTGACATTGGTTGTACTCTCCACCTCATTTTTCAGGACATGTCTCTCCCTGGACCCGGAGTTCACCACTTCGGCTCCACTAGCTGACCAGGGAGCTCCGAAGCCCTCATGTACCTAGCCTTTAATGACTGAACCATTTCCCCAACCCTTTGTTACATCTTTTAAAGGCTGGTTCTGGGGCTTGAATTCAGGTCCTCGTGCTTGTGCGGCAAGCACCTCATCAACAGAGTCATCTTCCCAGCCTCTGAGAAAAAGTCTAAGAAAAACAGAAAGCAGCAGTCACAGAGGAAATAACTGACAAATGTAAGGGCATTAAAATAAAGACGTTTCTATTCCTCCTAAGATGCTATAAATAACCTGGAAAGAGGAGCTACAAATTGGGAAAAGATATTTGCAATTCATATGTGACAAATGATTATTATCCTGAATATATAAAGAACTCCTAAAAACTACTAAGAAAGCAACCCAAAAAACCTAACAGAAAACGAGGTGAAAGATGTGAGCAGGCATTTCATGGAAGAAGAGGCCTGAATGCCAATCGTGACAGAAAATGTGTTCAGCCTCATTAGCACTCAGAGGAATGCAAACGAAAACTATAGAAAATCACCATTTCATACAAACCAGCTCAGCAAAGGGAAGGAGGCTGGCGAATTTTAATTCTGATGTACAGCAATGAAGTCTTTCCCATGAGAAGGGGAGAACAAAACTGCTTTGGAAGACACCCTAATCCTGTCTCTGAGGCTGAAGGAGATGTACTTCATCATCCAGTGAGTCTACTTCTAGGAGAGTCTAAAAAGTGCCTCTTGGAAGCCTCACTGTGGTAACAGGAAAACAGAAGCAACAAAAGTCACAAAGAACATAACTGGGGAATCATACAGTGGAAAACTATACATCAAATAGTCACAAAGAACATAACCGGGGAGTAATCATACAGTGGAAAACTATACATCAGAGAAGAGTGGTGAACTACAGCAAAGGCAAACGTCCACATGGGCATATATGAGAACATGTCATTGGTTTGAACAATAGAGCGTGGGTTCCTTCTTATGAAGTGAAAAAAGGAGTAAAATTATGTGTTCTTTGGGAAATATGTGCACGTGGTATAACTGACCTTAAAAGGTCAGAGAGTTAGATACATAGACTGGAGAGATGGCTCAGATGTTCAGAGCCCACTACTCTTGGTTGTTTGTTTTCTGTTGTTGTTTTGTTCTTGTGAGGGGGACTGAGGTTAGAACCCAGGGCGTCCTATGTCCTAGGTGAGCACTCTGCCACTGTACCACCTCCAGAACATGCTGCTTTTGCAGAGGCCCCGGGTTCAGTTCCCAGCACCCACGCCAAGTCTGGGGGAACCCAATGTCCTCTACTGTCCTCCTTGGGCACTGCAAGCACATGGTGCACACACAGACACACATAAAATAAAATCTTTTAAGAAAAAGGCCAGATGATTGTGAATAAAAGTTTCAGGGAGTATTTATGTGACAGGGTGGCAGGGGTGTAGCTGGGAAAAAGTACCCCTCTACAGTTCTGAACAGTCACTGGTATCCAGTACTCCTGCGGCTTTAGTCATAGACAATGTCTCAGTGGAATTCCCTATTTTCTTTTATATAAATCAACACTTGCCGGGTGGTGGTGGCGCATGCCTTTAATCCCAGCCCACAGGAGACAGAGGCAGGTGGATCTCTGTGAGTTCGAGGCCAGTGTGGTCTACAGAGTGAGTCCCAGGACAGTCAGGGCTACACAGAGAAATCCTGTCTCAAAATGCCAAAACAACCACAACAGTAAACAAAGTAAAATGGTGGAGAACAGAGTCAGGGCATAACTCCTAGCAGCTGAGTCACTCAGCTCTGGCGATCGGAACACAGCACCAAGTGATTCACACATCCTGTCTGTCTCATTTGGGCATCGTAGCAGCCCTGGGGAGAACTGGTCTACCAGCAGAGATGACCTTCTTCTCACTTTATATGTCAAGAAGCAGATGTCTAGAGAGCTTAATTAAGCAACTTGCCCTAGGTCACACAGCCTTATAAAGAAGAGATCCCAGAGGCCAGTCCAGGTCTGCGTGACTATGAACTGGTTATCTCCACACCCCCAGCTACTGGTCCCCAGTAAATGCCCAATAAGAGGTAAGGGTGTGTGTAGAGGGAAATATAACAGTGCACGGGATAAGAGTGTTTTGGTTATTTATTGTGGGAGAAATTACTTACACGAGAGAAACCAAAAGCCCAGGTTAGTCTCTGCAGCCTTTCGAGACCCGACCGGAACCCCAAAAGAGAGCAAGTCCCCTTCCTCTCAGCTCTTTATTTCACACACCTTCTACGTACCTGTGACCACGCCCAAATGGCGTGGTCAGTGCTGCAGATACCTAAGATCGCTCCCTACAGGTGTCTCACTGCTGTGCTGGCGGAGTTCCTCTAAGCCCGTCTAAGCAGTGTCAACACACCCTGTGTATTCTCTGGATGTCTGGGCCAATGTTGATACACAGAAGGCAGGATAGCCTTGGCAGGGCTCTGTCCTGTGACTGTGAGCCTGGGGGTTGGGAGGGCCAGTACTTACCCCGGGGACTGTAGCCAGGAGCATCCATGAAGGACAGGCCCAGCCGCTCATCCTCCTGCAGGGTGCTCTGGTCTGTGAAGCTGCGGTCCACAGCACTCATCATGTGAGTCTTCTCCTGGCGATAGTTGACGGTGGCCTTAGTCATGTTCACTGGCTTCCTGCAGAAGGGGACAGTTGGTAACACTGTAACTGTGGGTGGGGCCAACAGCACCCAGAGGTGGGAGGGAAGCCCCAGCTCTCAGAGCCTTGGGATCAGGAGTCAGCAGCATTGCAAATGTATCTCTGGCTACAGCCTATGCTCTTCACTCACCAGCCAAAGCAGCCATGATAGCTGAGAACCTGTTTCCTATCTCTTCTGACTCCAAGGTCTCAGGAGATAGAGCACCAATTCACTCTAGACCTAACTAGGTGCCACTGCAGAACCTCCATCCCGCAAACCAGAAGATTAACCCAGACAGTCCCAAACACCCACCTCCCGCAAGAGCCCTGCCTGGGAGCTCTCTCCATCCTGCAGGAGGAGACCCAGGCTTTCTGAGGGTGGACCAGGGTCTGCTCTGCCAGCTCAGGGATCTCTCAGGGAACATCAGCTGTGGAATCCTGCCTGGCTGGCTAATGAGTGGGGGGCGGGGTGGAGCAGCCCTGCCTGGGACATTTCACCGGTGGAGACCGCAGGCTGCGACTCGCTCTTGGGGAACGTGTGAGATGGAAGCGCAGCTCTGTGGCTGAAAGGATAAGATGCCTACACAGAATGACCCGGGGCCCATGTGGAGGCTTGAAGACCCTGCCAAGCTGGCTGAACGAGGCCCCAGAGAACCTTCTGGTGAGTGGAGACCGGCCTAGAAGGCAGTCTCCAGTGGTGAACCACAAGGCTCTGCTCCCAGTCAGGGGCTCTCAGCCTCCTTGAAAAACTATGAAAACAAACCCATCAGATCCACAGGAGACAGAAGGGCGGGGGAAACACCTGACGGGGGACACCTGACTCCACCGGCCTCAGGCTGATCTCAGTGTGAGAGGAGGCGGATGGAATTATGTACGCACTCAAAAAGTTCTGAATTTAGGTTCAAAAATTATCTACACGGAATCACGGAGAGGAAAAGCAGCCATGTCAGCAATTCCTTTGAGTGAGGGGAGGAAAACTGGGGGCTGGTGCTGAGAACCAGCAGGGCGAGGGACAGGTTCAGGAAGCAGCATGGAGGCAGGGTAAACCTCACCAGAGAGAGGTCACGAGGTCCAGGAAGCTGATGTGAGGGGCGGAGTGACTGGGAAAGAGTACAGAGTCGGCTGAGTATAAGAGCATAAAGGGGAAAGATACCGCAAGGGAAGGGAGGCTGTGGAAAGGGGCTGGCATTGACAGAGAGAGACAGAGGGAGGGAGGGAGGGAGGGAGGGAGGGAGGGAGGGAGGGAGGGAGGGAGGGAGGGAGGGAGGGAGGGAGGGAGGGAGGGAGGGAGGGAGGGAGGGAGGGAGGGAGGGAAGGAGGGAAAGGGAGAGAGAGAGAGAGAGAGAGAGAGAGAGAGAGAGAGAGAGAGAGAGAGAGAGAGAGAGAGAGAGAGAGAGAGAGAGAGATCAGGAGGGCAGGCCCTGGAAGCCTAGGGTGGTCAGAATTACTCACGGATAGTAGGAGTAGGCATAGCGGTCCCTCCTGGCAGCGTGCAAAGAGAAACAGCAATGTGACCAGGCTTCCCGCCCAGAAGGAAGGGACCAAAAAGGTCAGGGGGCCATGGTCAGTCTAAAGACTAACCAGACTCAGTCACTGTGAGCTCAGACTAAAAGCCCTCGCAGAATCTTCCCTCAGTGTGCTGCTGCGGGAGGCAAAGAGTCTGAGGGATGGATGCACTTTTGCAACCACACATACATGTGCAGACATACATACACACATGCACACTCACACGTAATAGATAATTCACATATACATGCACTCGTACACAGAAATACACTGTGCACACATACTCAAAGGCACCTTCCCCCATCCCTGCCTGCTCTGGTCTTTGTAGACAGCTTCCACCCTCAGACTCTCCTCTGCAGTCTCCACAGCCCCTGAGCAGGCAGCCCTGGACATACACCTCAGCCTAGGAAGGAGAATAGCTAGGGTCCAGAAGAGGCAGGGTGGAGAGGCCCCAGCAGGGTGGAGAGGCCCCAGCAGGTTAGAGAGGCCCCAGCAGGGTGGAGAGGCCCCAGCAGGTTAGAGAGGCCCCAGCAGGTTAGAGAGGCCCCAGCAGGTTAGAGAGGCCCCAGCAGGTTAGAGAGGCCCCAGCAGGTTAGAGAGGCCCCAGCAGGTTAGAGAGGCCCCAGCAGGATGCCTAGGCAAACCTAGGACCTAGTCTTCCCACCTTGACTGACTCTGACCATGGGGTTCATTAAGGAACCAGGCCACCCCCTCTCTGGACACCCGAAGCTTGTGTGAAAGCCTTACATTGAACTAAGACTGCTACTTCTTGGTAGAACACTTGCCTAGCACGCTCAAGGCTCAGGGCCCAATCTCCAGCACTGAAAAAAAAAATCCCATTTCGCAGATAAGGCCACTAAGTCACAGGTTATCATGGCAAAGGCCAGAGTCCCCCAGGTCTCAGAATACTTGTCTTATGATCCTGGTCTCCCTCAGTGCTCACTCCAGGGCAGACCCAGGAGTGGGTGCTGTGTCTCCTACTCAGTCTGTGACATTTGCAACACGGGCTGATCTGAAACCTGCTCAGACCCCACAATGCAAACCGGGCAGGGGGAGCCCGGAGGAGTGCACTGGCTCCCCAAAGCCATGAGCAGGGCGCTCAGTGACGGGCCACAGTGGCTTTCAGAGGAAGCAGCAAAGTGCAGTTCTGCAGAAGAGAATGGTCCTGGGGGCTTCTGAGGTAGAGTGGGCATCACTGATGTATGAGTCAGAGACTGTGTAATGAGGGCAGGCTCCTCGTGACACCCTGGCTACACCTATGACACACCCTGTCCTGGCCAAGGCTCTGTTTGCAGGCTGTGTGGCTGACATCCCACACGGCCAATTCTCTCCCCTCAGGGGAGCTCTCTAGAAACTCAAATACACCCCAGCAGTCCCACCTCCTACACCCACACTCTACTTAGAGGGCCCTCTCAGGCCTCTGGTGGGCACAAGGGCAGAGACCCGCCATTGGCAGGGAGCCTACAACGAGGCCTTCGCTTCTGTGGTGAAGTGCGGAAGCCTGAGTACAGACAGGCCCTTTACCTAGAGACACGAGCAACTCACTTTGATTACAGCTCCTCCGCCAGAGAAAAGGGAGTCAGGCCTGCTGTTTGTCAGGATCCAAGAAGGAAATGTTCTCGGATAGACCCCAAGTGCCAGAGCCTTGCCTGGCACATTCTGGGTACTCAGTAGCTACCGCTCCTGGCACACAGGCATCCCTCATTAAGTGATCGTTAAAGATAGTGTGTCTCAAGACACCGTTCTTCGACTTCAGAAGAAAAAAAATCTGAGCCCGAGCCCAGGATAGTCCATCCCACACACAATCTCCATTCCACTGGCATACCCCATCTCTATCGCTGATGGCCCTAGCCAGCTCTCTGTCCCCTCCCTGGATCCTACGTATCTGCTCCCGGCAGCCTGGAGAGCCGGTGCCAAGCAGCCTGCGTGTGCCCAGCCTGGCAGCAGCAGGGGCTACAGAAGCCAGAGTCCAGATGGGGAAGGATGAGGCTGGCTCTGCCTCTGGCATCTAGGGTGACCTTGGGCAGGTCCACTGCCTCCTTTAGGGCTCAATTATGGTTCGTGAGCCACCATGTTCTGGAGATGCCTGGAGAGAATGGGCAGTGTGTGGCTGCAGGCAGAGGGGTCTCAAGAGTTCCCACTCTGCCTCCAACTCTTGCTTAGTTCACTGGGCTCCAGGTAGGGAGGTTATTTTTGTTTTGGGGCTTTGAGCTTTTAGTTTTTGTTTTGTTTATGAAACAGGATCTCATGTAACGCAGGCAAGCCTTGAACTCAGCATACAGCAGAGATGACAAAGATGGCCTTGAACTTTTGATCCTCCCGTGTCCATTTCTGGAAGGCTAGGGTGACATACGTGAGCCATCATTTCTGGTTTATACCAGGATGGGGGCCAAACCTAGGGCCCCATGTATGCTAGGCAAGCACTCTGCAAAGTGAGGGGGTCGTCGGCTTTGACAGGCTCTGCTGCTTTGAAAACATTCTAAACACTAGGCCAGATGTCCTTCAACTCCCTGGCAGATCTCTCACTCTGGGGCTCTGAGTTTGCACAACCAGGCAGATACCTTGGCTAGAGGGCCAAGTCACAGTCAGGCCGCCACTGTGCCTTCCTATTGGAACAGCCCCAGCAGGGCAAAGGAGGACAGTGCCTGCTTCCAGCATGGCTCCTTGGCACCAGGTAGAGTACCCATTCCTGGATAGTGGCTCCTGGCACTAGCCAGATCTGTGCTCCAGCCACAACAGTGGCCTTTGCTGAGTCCCTGACTCCCAGTGACGAGCGTGAGTTCATCCACAGGCTGGCAGCCCTCCACATACTTCACCAGCAGCAGGGGCTGCTCTACCAAGCCCAGCCATAGCTCCTCTGTGCCCAGCAGGCCTTCCAGGAGTAGGAAGCCCCTGGAGGGCCTAGAGCACAGACACTACTCACCCTTTGCGAATGATGACAATGATGGCCCCCAGGAGGAGAATGAGAACAGCGAGGCCACCTGCACAGATGCCCAGGATGAGCCCCATCTCCTCTGATCTCTGGGACACTTCCAGGGGTCGTTTGCTCTCCTTACAAGCGGCTGGGAAGAACGAGACAGACAGAGGATCAGAGACCACCCGGCCCTACAGTTCTGAGCACGGAGGCCTGAGCAAGCTGCTGAAACACGTACTCGCCAAGCCGCAGCACTGTGCCTTGGCAATGCCCCACCTTTCAGTCAGAGATCTGTCTCCCCACCCCACCCTCAACCAATAGCCTGCCTTCCATATTCCAGGTCAGTCTCTCTCAGCCTGCTCTCCTCCTCTCAGTCCCCCTAGAAGCATCTCCCCCACTGCCCCCAGAATCTTCATACAAAGAACTAGAGACGCCTGGGCCTTCAGCCCTAACCCTCTTACCCTCTTGTCCTCCTGCCAGGTGATGGAGGAGGAAAGTACAAGTGCCACAGACGAGACATCCCAGGATGTAACCAACCACATTCCATGTCTATAAGAGGAGCGGTCTGCACACCTCCCTGCCTGTCTCTCCCACCACAGGAAAAGGAACAGAACCCAGAACCAAGCACCAGTTACCATCATCACCCTCAAGACGAAAGCTCGATAGCTTTCTTTCCACAGGCTGGTCCCTGTCTGTGTCAGAGGCCCTCTGTCACGATGGGAGTGTGAAGGGTGGGAGAGAAGCCCTTGAGTGGGCACCAGGGAGCTGAGCCCTTGCTGACTGGGGCCTGCCATCCACAGCCCTGGGCTCTCATAGCCCTGTGTGATCCCATAGCACCCGGTCCCCCGGATGAGAGGCTGTGCCTGGGCAGATCTGAAGACGCCCAGCGGACTCACCTTTTCTGGCAATTCGGATGCAGTTCAGTCGGGTTTCCTGGAAGTACAGACGAAGGGGCTCAGAGACACAAAAGCCAAACCTATGCTCCACAGATCAGGAACCCCCATCGGGATCGCTTATACTTAGCCAGGGCTCACGTGTGAGGTGCAAACTGTTAACTAAAGGCCCTCCATACAGCTATGTCTTAAGACCAATGAGATCGGAGGACACAGAAACAGCAAGGGAAAGAGGGGCGGGGCCTCAGACGTGAGGGCAGGAACCCCAGATCCAGGGGTCTGCTAAAAAATGAACCGCTGGAAAGCTAAAGATCCAGAAGCCCAGAGAAGAGGGCAGAGCCCAGGTTGGAGGGGAAGTCGGAGGCAGAGGTAGGGCTGCGACTCTAGTGGTAAGCTTCCTTGGAAGGGCCTCAAGACACAAGGGAGCCTGGTCAGGCGTGCGGCTCCATCAGTGGGAAGAGGCCTGGTATCAGGAGGGCGCGGCTTAAGGAAAGGAGGTTGGGATATGGAGGAGCAGAGCACTAGGTCTCAGGCCGCAGGGGTAGGTCTCCCCACCCCACAACCCACTACCCCAGCCTACACCACCAGGACCCAGCCGGCCCCTCACCCCTTTCAGGTGGCTTGCTGCCTGGAAGTAGATGAGGTAGGCCTTCCTGGGCTCAAGCGGTGGATTCCAGAAGCCACGATAGGTCTGGTTGTCCCCCACAGTGAAGGGCATGGCCTCAGGCAGGCTGCTGGCAGCCAGCTCAGCCCCAAAGTAGTGGACCAGGCCTCGGGCCAGTGCCGTCTCAAAGGTCAGAGGTACCGAGAAGCAGTCCTGACCTCCTGGCTCCCGCCGCAACCGCCGGGGTCGCTCTTCCTCCACAACCACCTGGTACACGCTGGACAGGGAGGAGATGACGCAAGTGACCACAGGGGGCCCGGACAGCCTTCAGGCGGCGAAGGTCAGGGACTTTCAGGTCTGCCTCTTTCTAACCCCGCTTTGGCTGTGGGCTCCTCCAGTCCACTGCGGAACTACATTGTAAAGATTTGCCACTCGAACTGGTATATAATAAAATGATAGTTGGCCAGTAGCCAGGCAGGAAGTATAGGCGAGATGACCAAACTAAGCATGATGAGGAGAAGGGAGGAGTCTGAGGAGTCACCAACTGATGCAAAGGGAGCAGGAGATGAATGTGTCATGTGAATAAAGGTACCACCATGTGGCAGAGGGTAAATAAGGAATATGGGTTAACTTAAAATGAAAGAGCTAGTTAGTAATAAGCCTGAGCTACCAGCCAAGCATTTATAATTAGTATAAGGCTCTGCGTAGTATTTTGGAATCTGGCAGGAGAGAGAGAAATGTCCGCTTACACAAATACGTGGGGTCTGATATGCTTAAATCTTTCCTGTCAGCCTCCATCACAGCTCAGCCTGTGACACCCATTTGGGACACCCCATCTGCCAACCTCTGCTCTGAGAAGTAGGAATGCCTCTGCCTTCCCTCCAGTTTCCAGCACAAGGAGTCAGTTCACTGCCCATCACAGAACTGCTGGAAACACCAGCTCAGATCGCTCTCAGCATCCCCCATGTTAGGGCCAAGCGTCTCCCAGGTCCACACACTCTTAGGAGCTGACAATAATTCACATTAGCCTCAAGCTAAAGTAATGTCCAAGGAAATGCGACCTCAGAGAGATGAGGGTCACCCTGCCCACCATGTCCCATCTCCTTATTCCAATCTAGCTTGACCAGCCCAGCTCACAGAATCCCTCAGAAGGACACCCAGGGAGAAGTTTCCCAAGTCCTCCCTGGTGATGTCACACAAGGACCTGGAGGCTTCAGCAAAGAACACTACACCCACAGGAGCCCGAGAGTCCACAGGGGCCAAGACAGGCAGTGGTAGCAAATATGGGGGAGACCCAGCAGGTGACAAGAAAAGAAAAGGGCAGGGTGAGAAGGTGGAACGATCCAGCCGCCTTCGTGGGACAGCCCTCAGTGCCCACTAAAGGAGACCTAAGTGGCCAAGAGGCTCTGTGGCTTCCAAAAGTCACACCTTCCCCCACATCTCCACGCCAAATGCAACCCCAAGATGGCCTCACTCACACATTCCCCATTTTACTCCCGTGTGTGTGCACACAAGGACACATTCACACACAGCAGAGGTTTTGCGGGTTAAGACAGCTAACACAGCTGGCAACTTGACTAGACTGAGAAACACCTAGGAGATTGGTGAAGCACACTTCTAGGAATATGTTCAAGGGCGTGTCCAGAGAGCGTCACCTAAGAGTGAAAGACTTGTCATGAATGTGGGGGTACCATCCCATGGGCTGAGGGAATAAAGCAGGGAAAGGAGAAAGCCAGTCAGCTGGCATCTAGGTGTTCTCCCTCTGCCTCCCAGTTACCCTGAGGTAAATCGCTCCTCCACCCGCCACGCTCTTGACACCCTGGTGTTCTGCCTAAGTGCACAGGACCAAGCAACCATAGACTGAAGCCTCTGAAACCATGAGTCAAAACAAGCCCTTCCTCCCTTCATTTGTTTTGCAAGCATGTTTAATGACATGCTCTGCACAGGGTTCCATGAAGCTAAAATGACTTTATGCACATGAAGTCCTAGGGCACTGTCAAGCTGACCATGAGTCACACCTGCTGAACACCCCCACACGCTCAATCACAGGCAGACTTAGACTGACACCCCCCAAGTGCCTCTCAGCCACCTTCACGTCTCCGTGCCAAACACATCACAAAGGCAACAACCCTGAGAGGACCCCACTCACACACACTCCCCATCTGCACTCTAACACACAGCAGGGGCAGTCATTGTGATATCAATAACCCAGAGTCCTCCAGAGAGTGGGGAGCCTTCTACAGCGATACCCACCCCTGTATCTCCAAGAGCAGAACTAGCTAGAAAATACAAAGCCCCAAGACTTTCACTTCTCCTAAGTGTCTAATGAACCACCCTTGGGAGGCCTAGTTCCTTCTCCAAACTGTCCAGGAAACCTATGACAGTTACCAGCAGAGACCTGTGATCTTGACTGGAAATGAGTAGCTTCAAGCTTTCTACTGCCCGGAATCATGGTGCTCCCTCAACCCTGAGCCCAGGCAGGAAAATAGGGTAGCCAGAGAGCTGGCCAGATCAGAGGAGAGCTGTCTACCCTCTCCATGCAGGGTTTCCCACCTGATGGGTGCTCCACGGCCCTGGGCCGGCCTCAGCAGCACTGTGATGGTGTTCTCAGACTCGCCCAGGGGTGACGGCATGTCAGCATAATCAAAGCTGGGAGCTGAGAAGAGACAGGGACACAAGCATGGCGCCTTGGAAGGCTAGACCTCCAGCCCTCTTACCACTGAGTCCCCCCAATCTAAGCTTCCAAGGACCTTAGACTTAGTCACTGACCTCTGATCTCAACCCTCTGATTCCACCCACTATAGTCTCCTGACCCCTCTGATTTAGTTCCCACTCCTGACTTGAAACCTTTAAATGGTTCATTTATCTCTGCAAGGGCCTCTGTACCCACACTAGGCTGCTCCACCCTTCAATATCCTTGGAACCCTGAGACCCTAGACCCCCTCCCAAGGAAGCTCACCTGAGATGTTGGTGGTAATCTCGGTGAGAGCTGCCTGGCCGAAGCCCTTGCTGGTACGGGCACGCACAGAAAACAGGTAGGTGGTACCGGGGTGCAGGTTGGAGAAGACGTGGTAAGTCTCATTGCGGAGTTTGGAGATGGTGCGCCGTGGGCCGGGCACATTCACTGCTGGGTCCGAGGACTCGATGCTTTGGTAGCTGATCTGGGGGCGCAAGGAGCAGGTAGGAGGGGAACAGGACAGGGATGGGTGTCACTCACTATCCCAGGAACCTCACCCAGCACCCACTATATTCCATGGAAACCAGAGATGCACCGGGCTGCCCCCCACCCTACTCAGCACAGACTCTAGCCATCACGGAAGTAGTCTTAAGGCCCACCTCTGTCCTCCCACATCTCCCTCTCCATCACAGGAAGGAACTTTGACCTCCCACCTGGGCCCCTGTTCACCTCATACTGAGTGATGCGGCCATTGGGCTCCTGGGGCTCCTCCCACTTGAGAAAGATCATGTCTTCCAGTGGGGTAAAGGTTAGGGACTCAGCTGCAATCCCACCAGGCACTATGCAGGAAGGATAAAGGCAGAGGAAAGTGGGCTCTGGCTCCAAATACCAGAGTTCATGCATCAGCCTTGCCTCTTCCTAGCGGTTCTGCTTGGGCCCATTGGCCTCCCTGAGCCTCAGTCTCTGCATCAATGAAATGGACATGATGCAGCCCCTCTCTCACCGGAAGTAAATAATGTGAGGTATGCAAAGCTCAAAGCTCACATGACCCATTCCACAGGGGCCCACGTTTCATGGCCAAGCAGGTTCCATTCAGGCTCTTGTTTAGCTCCAGTTAGTAGCTTTCATGAAATACAGATATTTACCAGAGAAAGGAAAACAATTGTAATAGGGGGTCGGGATCATGGGTAGAGATGTTTTCCTGTCTAAAAAGATCTTAATTACATAAACAGTCTCAATGAGACGGAAGAAAATTAACAGCACTGACAATTACATCATACACACGCGCTATGAAAATTTCCTCACGGGCACTGTGAGGTATGGTCAGTTTGGTTTGTACACTCTTAACAGCTTCTGATGGGGAAAACACTTCGATTATCGCTTGTGAGAAAGCAGAGGTTATCCAGCAGGGACAGTGGAAGGTAGAGGAAGAACCAGTGAGAGCCAGGCTGAAGAGTCGGCTTGGTTGAAGCATGAGGACCTCACGACATCCACAAAAAAGTCAGGGCTCTGGGTGTCTGTATTGTAACCCAGCACTGGAGTGTGTACTGTAACCCAGCACTGGGAGTGTGCACTGTAACCCAGCACTGGGGTGTGCATCTTAACCCAGCACTGGGGTGTGCATCTTAACCCAGCACTGGGGTGTGCACTGTAACCCAGCACTGGGGTGTGCATCTTAACCCAGCACTGGGGTGTGCACTGTAACCCAGCACTGGGGTGTGCACTGTAACCCAACACTGGGGGTGTGCACTGTAACCCAGCACTGGGGTGTGCATCTTAACCCAGCACTGGGGTGTGCATCTTAACCCAGCACTGGGGGTGTGCATCTTAACCCAGCACTGGGGTGTGTACTGTAACCCAGCACTGGGGTGTGCACTGTAACCCAGCACTGGGGTGTGCATCTTAACCCAGCACTGGGGAGTGCACTGTAACCCAGCACTGGGGTGTGCATCTTAACCCAGCACTGGGGTGTGCACTGTAACCCAGCACTGGGGTGTGCATCTTAACCCAGCACTGGGGTGTGCACTGTAACCCAGCACTGAGGACTAGGGGGAGGAGACAGGTGGGTTGCTTGGGGCTTGCCGGCCAGCCAGCTGAGCTGAAACAAAGAGATCCAAGCTCAGTGGGACCTTGTCTCAAAAAATAAGATGGAAAGCAATAGAGGAAAACAACAGCCTCTTCCCTACACACACACACACACACACACACACACACACACACACACACACACACACTAATACAATGAAAGCTAAGCATTCAGTTAAAGCAAGAATTTCCCAAGATCATTCTCCAACTATCCAAACAGGAAAAAAACAAAAGCAAAACAAAAACCCACAGCAATTAACAATGCCAAGTGTCAGTAAGATCACAGAACCACCAAGTTTTCATTCATTGCTGGTGGAATATAAACTGACACAATCATGACCAACGGAAGACAGTCTGGCTAAATCTACTAAAGATGAACACACACCCTTGCAACCTAGCCATTCTCTCCTACACACGCCCACATGACACATGAACACCTACCAAAAATAATCTCCACAGACTTTCTTCAAAACATTGTTCAGAGTAACCAAATTCAGAATCTGCCCGGATACTCACCAGCAGTTAACAGAAAGTAAATGTGGCGGATTCATTCCTAGAATGAACTAACTACACAGCCGTGAGCATGCATTCACTGGGACCATGCATGCCATGGTCCGGTCTCCGGAGAGCACAAAATTCACAGAAACAAGTGGGCACAAAGCAAGCCTCCACTGTATGGTTTTGCTTACACACAGCCCAGAACCAAGCAAAAATGAATACAGTGTTACCGGGAGGAATAATGGTTAGTTACCCTTGGGAGGCAGTGAACACGGGGAGCATAAGCAGCCTCCTGGGGTGTTGGGATGTGATTTCTTCATTTGGATTAGAGTTCTCTGAAGTGTCCAGTCTATGGGCATTTATCGGACTGACCACTTAAGATAAGCACCCTGGACAGAATGAGGTGGCCTGACCATAGCCATGGGGGATCAAATGTCACAGAGATCATGAGAATGGCGTACTCTGGTGTTTAGCTACAGGTTGTACAAAGCTTTGGGACAATCCAGCCATTGCTTGCTCCTGCCCTGAGAAAATCTTCAGTGTGGCCTATGCACATAATCAAGGTGAGCGGTGTCCGGTGGAAAACCAATGAGGAAGGCTGACTTGTATATGGGCTACCGCTATTCAGAATAGAAACTGCACATGGGGACAGCAAGAAACCCGACCAGCCAATCCCTTACAGGTTCCTGGGAGTCTGCAGGAATTTAAAGAAGGCAGTGGGTACGTGCTGGCATCAGAGTGCAGCCGCCGGAAGTGGCAGGTCTGCGAGGTGTGGTGGTGTGGACCCGTACCGACACGTGGGAACAGGAAGCAGAAGAACCGCCATGTCACACATCCGAGGACAGCCTGCGCCACTGGTGAGACTGGCGCGCACACACACACAATCAAAAACTTAAAAATAAGCAACTCAGGATGGCAGCGAACTTGGTGGCCAAGTGTGTGCTCAGCAGGTGCAAGGTGGCATGGGCTCGGTCTCCAGCACCGAAACAAAACAAAGCCAGCTTTCGGGCCGGCTTTATAAAGCCCTGCTCTACCGATCACAGACTTGCTATGTGAGGTCGTCTGTCACAGAGGACGAGAAACCGCAGCCTGCCGCACAGGGTGGTCAAGGGGCTGAATGCATTAATACATAGAATCCATCCATACTGGCATCTGTTGCAGAGTGTGTGCCTAAGTGCAGACTGTGTGACACATACAGGGCACTGAACCCAACAGTGGCGGGATGCAACACAGGGGACATCCGTCAAAATTTAACCACTTGCTGGGCGACAAAGCAAGGGTCAAATTTCAAGACTAGAATGCCTACTCTGACCACAGTGGATTAGGCCAGAAATCAATAACAAAAAGGTTATTAATTAGAAGTCCTCGTTGGTGGACTGGGGATGTATCTCAGTGGCAGAATGCTTGCACAAGGCCCAGGTACCAATATCTGGCACGCACGCACACACACACACACACACACACACACACACACACACACTCTAAATGCTTAGAAATTTAACAAAGTGACCAGGCCATGGTGACACACACTTTTAATTCCAGCACTTGGGAGGCAGAGGCAGGTAAATATCTGTGAGTTCAAAGCCAACCTGATCTACAGAGTGAGGTCTAGGACAGCCAGAGCTACATAGAGAAACTCTGCCTCAGGAAAAAAAAAAAGAAAAAAGAAATTAAGCTAAGTAATTTTAAATAATTTTTGAGTTAAAGAGGAAATTATTACAGCAATTAGAAAATATTTTAAACTGAATGGTAATGAAAACAGAGCACACATGGGTGGCCTGAGGATGGAGCTCAGGGCCGCACAACAGCTGCCTAGTCTGAGGTAAAGCCCCAGCACACTACGGGGTACGGCTAAAGCAGAACATAAAGGAAAGCACATGGCTTTAAATGCATGCATTAGAAACCAGGCTCAAACCGACTGTGGCGGCTCGAACCTACAATTCTAGCACTGAGGAGGCTGAAGCAGGAGGATTACACGTTAAGATCAGCCTCAGCTACATGGCAAGACCATATCAGAAAAGGGGAGAGGGTGGAAGAAAGGCTCAAAAAGCTAAAAAACGGGATTGGAGAGAGAGCTTAGTTGGTCAAGTGCTCACTACACACACAGGAGAATCTAAGTTTGGATCTCCAGTGTCCATGTAAAAGCCAGGCATGGTAGCACACATGTGTAACCCCAGTGTTCAGGGAAGCGGGGACAGAGATGGGTGGAAACCTGGAGCCTGGTGACCAGCCAATCCGCCTGCTGGTGAGATCTTTGATCAGTGAGAGACAGTCTCAAAAAACAAGGCGGAAAGTGACTGAATACACCCAAATCTATTTCACAAGTGAAAACTGTTATTAAAAACCTTGCCATGAGGAAAATTCCTGGTCCAAATTCACCACTGAATTCTTCCAACCCCTTCAGGAAGAAATTTCACTCGCCTAACAACCCACAGTCTCCCCAGGAATAAGTAATGGCCACCACTGCCTTGCTGGAGTTCCTGCATGAATCTGAGCACAGGCCCTGGGTACGGGAGGCAACCGTGGCTCTGGGAATCGGGCCTGCACACTTACCATCTTCATCTGTCTGGAAGGTGACCTCCTTGCCCTCCTTGCGCCCCTCAGGGTTTGTGAGGATCAAACGCACATGGATGCTCCTAAACGGTAGCAGATTCTTGATAGTATAGCGGCTGGCACCCCGCTCCATCTTCACACACTCCCGGACGGTCTGGTTGTGGCTGCCACCCAGGTTGTAGTGATAGCAGAGGGACACAGTGTAAGTGTGGCAACGTGTCACATTGTAGCCCAGGGGCTCCCACTGCAGGGCCAGCTGGCGAGCCTGGATCTCAGCAAAAGCCAGGCCTTTGGGGGCCCTCATGGGCTCTGGAAACACAGGAAGCAAGGAGAAGGTGGGGGAAGTGGGAAGAGAAAAAGGTAAGGAAGAGAGCATCGATCCACTGCCAGAAACCAACCCTCCTCTGCCTCTTGGAACTCCAGGCACCCTCAGAACTGAACAGGCTGTGATACTGTATGCTCTGGAGTAAGGCGAGACGCATCTGAATCCTGGCTCTGCCACCCGAAGCCGGTAATCGTTGTCTGAGTGGTACCCTCTCTCTCCGCCTTGGTTTCCTGAACGGCAAATGGAAAAGACCTAAGCTTGGATCCCAGCACCCACATAGAAGCAAGGCTCCCTCCGAGGATTCCTAGGCTACACTGTGACTGTTAAGGTAATACATGTGAAACCGGCATAGCAAAGGCCAACACTCCACAACCCTTCAGAAGCATTAACTGCTGGGCCAGCGAGATGGCTCAGCGGGTAAAGACACTTGGTTGAGCCTATTGACCTGAATTCAATTTCTGAGACCCATGTGATAGAAGAAAAGAACTAACTCCTGGGGTTGTCCTTTAGCCTCCACATTCACAGTGTGGCCAGTGCTCGTACGCACGCGCGCGCGCGCAGACACAGCACACACACACACACACACACACACACACACACACACACACGCTCGCGCGCACACGCACGCACACCCGCACACACAATAAATAAGTAAATGTAAAAGAAAAACCATTAGCTCTTACCAGCACAGTGGCACATGCCTATGATCCCAGTACTCAGAAGGTCAGACTAGGCTGCATAGTGAGACACTGTCTCAAAATAGAAAGGTGTGCTATATAATTAGCACAATTTACCCCCTAGTTCAAGAATATTATGAACAACACTGGGCCACTAAGAATCAACCTATTGCTATATTTTCTTCATTTACTAGTTCTAAACGTATTACAAAACCATTTATATCAATACATATAGAATTACATAATATATAAAAACTAGGAGGATGGGAGCTATGGCAGTAAACAGCACAATATGACAGAGAATGTTTGGAAAGCAGAAACAGAAATCCATGTTATTATGTCCAAGGTAGGGCTCTACAGGTAAGGTGCAAATTGGATGGTAAGTTCCCTGACAGCCAAAGTCACAAGAAAAATGAATCTGTTGTGCAATGATAACACTGGCAGTTAATATTTAGGGGATTTTGGAAGTGTCCAACATCTTTCTGGAAGCTTTAGACTGTTTTATCTCATTTAATCTTGGTTGAAACCCAATGACACAGGGGCTGTCATTGACCCTGTCATACAAATGAGAAAGCATAGAAATAGAGGTTAGGTGAGGAGTCCCAAGTTCACAATCAAAGGCCTGCACCAGAACCTATGCTCTTACCTGCCACTGCCCTGGTCCCCAGGAGGAATTCACTTTCACAAACAATAGTTACACTCACGCCTTGGAGAGACACAGCCGCCCCCAACAGGAAGGAGAGGCAGCCTGTGGTACACAGTCTCTTAATGACTCCACTGGCCAAAAATGGGGCCCAGAGAGATAGCTTGACGGGTAAAAATGCTTGCTTTGCCAGAGTGAGGAACCAGAGTTCAATCCCCAGAGTCCACATAAAAATAGATGTGGCAATGTGTGCTTGTAATCCCAGCACCTAGGGGGCAGAAGCAGACAGGTCCATGGGAATTAATGGCCAGCCAGCTGAGCTTATCTGGTGAGTTCTAGGCCAGTGCAAGATCCTGTCTCGAAAACACGAGTATGGTCCCAGGGACACAGACCTCCACACATGTACTATGGTATGTATACACACACACACACACACACACACACAGCTTCCAGAGAGAAGATTCAGCCCACATCTCCCTGTCTGTCTTGACCAGCCTGTGATTTTAATCAAGCCTCCAAAAGGGAGTCAAGATGATTCCAAGGATGTTTTATCCCTCACACCCTGATGCTGTGACATTCGAATCCATGCCTCAAAAGTTCTGGGAGTATCTTCCTGCAAAATGTCCCATCCCTTTTGTAAGGCTCTACTTAGCCCCTTAATGAGATTAAGGGGGATCCTGTGGTCATTGTCCATGACTAATTTACTCAGCAGCCCCCTTGTAAAAAAGATACATCTGGAAACATCGGTTCACACTCTCTTCACACAGGAGTTCAGGAGTGACAATGGTCAACCTAGCGCTGAGCAAAGCAAGTCCTGTTCCCACCCAGCTCTCATTTCTTTCCTAACCCAGGCAAGAGATAAGTCTTCAGTCCTATAAGGAGCCCTCAGAGAGAGATTTCAGATCTCAGAACCTACTAACAGAGATACTCCCAGAACTTTCGAGGCATGGATTCGAAAGTCACAGCAGCTGAATGACCCTGGTCCACCTCCACAGGCTGAGGGGCCGTAAAAGGAAGACTCACTTCCCTCTTCTCTTCTGTCCTGGGTAGATCCTGGTGTTCAAACACCATGTTTACTAAGACTGGCATGCTGACTGAAGGGTGTGAATCCATGAGTCTCTCTGCCTCCAAAAGCCATCCGTCAACAAGGCGTTCCCTTCAGATGCCAATGCATACTAGCAAGACAGAGCTCGGGGACCGTGAAACCCTAGCCAGGTGAATCCCACAGGCCACTCAGAGACCAGAGGGCAGGGGGCGTGGCAAAGCAGGAGAACATATGTAACTTCCATTAAATTAACCCAGAATGAGCATTATAATGCCAGCAACTGCTTCTGCCTGGTGGAGGGAGCCTTAGGCAGGGTCAGTGCATCCAAGTTCACACCCTGCATCCAGTCCTCCCTGGCTCTGCAACAAAAGGGAAAGTGGCTTAACCATCCTTCTGATGTCAACAGAGGAAACAATGCCTACTCTAAAACTGTGAATTATCCCAGCATCCAGCGGGTAGGGGTCAGACGATCCAAAGTTCTAGGCCAACCTCAACTACCAAGCTAGTTCAAGGTCAGCCTGAGGTACATGAGACTATGTCCTAAAAACAAATAAACAACAACAAAACCTCCTCCTTTAAAGACCAAATATAAGCTAGCCACATGCCTGTGATCCCAGCACGCAGGAGGTAGAAGCTAGAGGAGCAAGACTTCAAGGTTATCCTCCACTACACGGTGAGTTGGAGGTTAGCTGGGGCTGTATGAGACCATGCCTCAAAACGAACAGCAAAAAAAAAGGAAACACCCCATGGGACGTGGTAAACCAGAGTGCCCAGCCAATAGTAATCAATAAGGAAACGTGTGCACCAAAGTGAGACTTCTGTAACAATATGAATTAGCGAAAGCATGCCGCAAAGCAATAACATGTCAGCCCTTCCTCTAATCACTCCTGACTGTTTACTCTAAAGAATATAACTCAAGAGAATAAAAAGAACTGCAAGCATTTAATTTTTCAATGTAGCATTACAATAATAAGGATATAGAAACAAACAGCCCAGAAATCCAGGGTAGATGTCTGCAGGCAATAACATAATTATAAACATGGGCCGGCACCAAGCAAACGAAGCAGAATCCTGAGAAGCAGAATCCTGAGCGAGCGTCAGCCCCATCCCCACAACAAGCATGTAAAAATGTGCACCCAAGACATATGGGCAGAGACTGGAACAAGACAGAAAAATTAAGACAGCTGTTGAGCTAGGATGGTGTGATTCAGAGGGTTGGAAGTTTTTTTTAAACCTTTTACTGGTGCAATATTATTGTTTTTACAGTAAATAATAGAGTGGAGGGAATTGTGGGCCTGCAGAGCCTGACAACACAGCTGCCCAAGAACAAAACAACCCCAGGCCAGGCTCTAGGGCAGTGATTCCAACAAAGCGGAGCCTGTGATTAGGAGAGGCGGGAGGAGGTCTTTGTTTGGAGTCTACCCACCTGGCCCCTGCACCATCCCCACCCTGGCTAGCCTAAGGAAAAATGCTTCCCTGTACCTGACACTAGCGGGCACTTGGCCTGAGGCAGGGGCTGTAACAGCTGCTGCTGCCATCAGTCATTGGAAATCAAGACTGGTCAGCTGCATGGTTAATACTGGTTACAAATCTGGCAGGCTCTAGGATCACGTGGGAGACAAGTCTCTAGGTGCACCTGGTGAGGTTAACTGAGGTGGGTGGTACTATCCCGTGAGTTGGATCCCAGACTGAGGAGAAAAAGGGATCCAGGAACCAGCACCGGATTCTGTCCTCCCTGACTGTGCCTGCAGTGTGGCCAGCTGCTTCAAGCTCCCGCAGCCTTCACTTCCCCACCGTGATGGACTGTACCCTCAGACTGTGAGCCAAGGTAAACTCATCTTCAAGTTGTTCGGTCTCAGGGTATTTTATCACAGTGACAGGAAAGTAACCAAGAAACCAGCTCTGCCTCTGGCTCTGCTGTGACTCGCAGTGCAGATTTGGTCAAGGGGCTGAATCTCTAAACCTTACTTTATTCACTTGTAAAATGGGAATGATCAAAAGTTATGACTAACAGGTAATAGCCTCACATCATGAGGAATTGAGTCAGACTACAAGGGCAATAGCTCCTAGCCATAAGGAATAGCTTAACACCAGCCTGACCGTTCAAGTCCACCTGCAGAAACTACATGCCCAGGTATCAAAAACAACTCACTCTGCTCCCAGTCAAACCACAAAATATAGTTGTAACTTCCTGACATCTGTGTGTGTGTGGGGGGGGTTACATGCCTGAGTCTTCTGCCTCAACACACTCCCACACCACACATTTTTTTTGACTTTTTGATACAGGATTTCTCTATGTAGCCCTGGCTGTCCTGGAATTTGCTCTGTAGACCAGGATGGCCTCAAACTCAGAGATTCATCTACTGGTGTCTGCCTCCGGAGCACTGGGATTAAAGGCATGCCCCACCATCATCCAGCTAAGCAGTCATTCTTTTTATGTAGTTGACAGCACACACTTTATTGACTGAGCCATTTCCCCAGCCCCACAACCTGGGTTCTTGACCCACTGTCTGATTACAAGCAAGTCCCTTCCCCATCTGGATTTCAGTGTCCCCATCTGCACACTCAGGAGAGTACAGTTGAGATTCTCCATGTGCCTCAAGCTCTGATTTCTTTTAT